GACTGCTCTTGGTCCCTTTTGCTATTTTATCCGCTTGACAATTCGCTATTTATTATAAAAATATACGATAGGTGCATCTAGAAACTTATAAATTCTATTTAGAATATACTATATAATAGCAAACAAAAGTTACATCACTCGTTAATTTTAAAATATCTTGAGGAAGTACAGTATGTTTTTTTTTATATTATAATGACGTCTTGTTTTTGTTTGGGGCAAGAGAATTGTAATATATAGGTGTTCACGTTGTTTCCCGATGTTTCATAGTATTTATTTGTTTTTGGTTAGTTATTAGTACTATAGTTTATGTACAGAAATAAATGATGGCTGTTACGAAACAATTTTTCGTTTTTTTTAGAACCTGACATATGATATTTCTTAAAATTTAAAATTTATATATAGTTCAAAAACGAAATAAACACGTTTTTCCCAACTTTCAAAATTTCACCTAACTTATCAAATCAGCTCGATTGATTAAATTATTGTATAGCTATGAGAATTTCACATACAAAATTTCAAATAACAGGTGAAGCTAACAAAATCGCTTAAAAACTAGACCAGTCTATGATAACTCGTCTGTCTATCCGTCTGTCTCTATCATAAACCTATTTTATTCATAGAATATGCTAAAATTATAATTGAATAAAGTTTTAGAATTAATTTAGGAATCAACATATTTTAAGTGTCCAATTATCTATATTTCTATGTGAAACATACAAACAATATTGAGAACATGGGTCTTTATTAATAAAATTAATTATTTTCACCCGTTGCGCAGAGTTATTAAAATAATTACCAACTGCTGTTTTTATCGTGACCTATTAAAACGAAATGAAAGCGCTCCGCACTCGAGCCAGCCCTAATTGGAATATCTCGCAGGATGTCGTACTCGTGATACGAGGGTTGAATAATATACACACGCTCGTATATACGTGACGCTTATAACAATAGCCAAAAGAGCTATAATACTATGTACTTGTATATCAAACCGCCGATTGAAACTGCACTCTGACCTCCAGACACGGTAGGATATGTAAGGATAGTTGCACTAAGTCGGATATATGGTCAAAGAAATCATATTGCTTTTAGCATTTCGTGTTTAAATATGATTATCTACTGTCAAGATTGTAAATTGTTCGCAGCACAATTAATATTGTGTAGTTTTTATATTTTTAATGAATATTTTTTGGTTATTTCAAAATGGCGGTAATTAATTATAGTGTGCGTTGTAAATTACATTTGATTTGTTTTTATCATGTATACTCTTGAACAAAGCTTCTTTTTTTTAATTAAATACGTTCGAAATTTCGAAATAAAATTCAATTTCAATATGTTTTTGTTACTGACTTATATTATTTCAAGTTTCATTTCTGAAGTTATACTTCTTTTAAGAAAAAATTCTTCTTAGAGAAAAATCATTAGAGTGATTTTTTTACGATGCGACTTTAGACTACAGATAACAGAGTATAAGTTACTCGTTAAATCTCCCTTTAGTAGAGTGTGAAGTGATGTTTTTTTTTTGATATTTATTCCGGTATTTCTATATATACAACACGTGTTTTATATCGATAAAAATAAAAATTATTACAAGCTCTTATTTACATAGTTTCACCAGTCTCGGTGCCTGTCTGTAATCAAGTCTTGCAAATTAAATTTGACCCACTTCCCAGTGGTTCTCGTGACATACCTAAATGTGGACATTACAAAATAGTGATGGTGATATGGGCATCAAATGAAAGGGCTTGATGTGATAAATAATAATCACGTCATTGTAAATCCAATATGGCGGAATATGTTTTTTATGCACTCCCATAATCTGGATATCAAATGAAAGGGTTTGTTGAGAAGAATACGAATAAAACAAAAATAATAAAATTAAAAAAATTATAGTAAAAAATAATTGACAAAACTTATTTAAATGCTATAAAAAAACTATCGCGAGATTTACCTTTGTATATAAACAAGAATAAAAATATGTAACTTGATTTTAACATACCTAATTCTAAGAAAAAATAATGTTTTTTTAATATATATTTGTATTATTTTCGTTTTGTTATACCAAAGAAGTATAACTTCTTACGTGCATGCATAAATAAGTACGCATGCACTTTTTTGTTTATAATTTTTTTTGAATATTTGCAAATTCAGGTCACACTTGTGATTTATGTTTGCAGTTAAAATGATTCCGCTTTTTTATGATCCGTGCCGACTGTATCGGGATGCGACATCTATCTGTTTAATGGGTACCTACACGTTTTCAATTTTATCTCTACGGTTCACGTTTTCATTTTGTGAGTTTACCGACTGTATTGATTTTGTCAGTATTGCTTTCAGATTCAAATACTTTCGTAGAGTCAAATATTTCCAATAAATCTAACTCTACAGCTAATGAATGAGTTAGCTATAGATGAATACTATAAATAAAACGGAAGTTTTAAAATATGTATATTTTTATGTTTTTAAGCGTACATTGTTAACTAAAACGGCACATGATATATGGCTGATATTTAAAGATAATTCAAGCACGAAAAATCATTTCAGAATTAAATTCACTGGCTTACTGAAATATAACATTCGAACAAATAAAACTTGATGCTACCACTTGAGTGACATTTGCAAACAACACGCCAAAAGTGTTCTTAAAATCTCGTATAAAGTTTTACATATTACAAGTTACGAAAGTAACAAGATCAACATTCTAAGATAATAGCAGAAGTTGAGTATGTGTTTGTAAAATTTATAGCGCCTCGTAAACCTGTAGGGTACTTATTTATCTAAAGAGGTTATGTTGAACTTAAAACATCCTTCATCTTTAAGGATCCGGGGCGTGCTCAAGCCTTACTTTTTTTTAGGTCGTCCTAGTTACCAAGGGCGATGAGACGCTTGTAATTCTACCTTGTAATTTTGTTAAGATTCCCAAGATAAATGCCTTCGTGGCGTATTATAGTTTATGTCTAAATTGGATTTCGGAAGTCATTGCTTCGATTCTTTAGTGAACTAAATGTTTTTGTATAATTTGTTTTAAAATTATTTGTGATCGTCTAATTAAAACAAAACAAATTGTTGGTTTTTGCTATAAACAAAATGAAGAGTCCTTCTCTAGTCGGAAGAGCACTTTGCGTAATATTACTTAAAAATAGAAATAATACAATGATTGACGTATTCTATGGCAACAATAACCAATGACTCAGTGAATATAGGTGTTTTTAATATGTCAATTGTTTGCTTTGGTGACTTATAGGGTTTTTTAATTACCTTATTATGTTTTTTTTTATTTTACCTTTTATTATTCAGTTTATTTGCATTAAATAAGTGCACAGGCACGCTTTGCGCTCGTATCTTAACCAGAGACGTGTGTGACGTACGTGTCTTATGTAAGTTACCTAAATAAATACGCTTAACTTTATTACCTTTTACAACAATTCACCTGCACATATACAGGGCACGGCTGTATTGATGTTGAATAAAGGTATATGTATGTAAAAATCTAAGTAACATTTACCTATATGAAGCTGTTTTAAAACTGTGATTTAAATACTGTGAAGGAGTCATTCAAGAAGAAATATTGAAGTACATATTATATGATATATTATCGTATCGTATTTATTATTACTTTCTTCATACAATCCCTCCACGACCGCGTACACGCCGGCATTACAGTTAACAATAGATTTCTTAGAAATTTAATTAATTTCTTAAAAATTTACCTGGAGGTGATATGTAAACATTATCAATGAAACTAAATAATACTTAGGGAAGCTTAAAGTGAGGCATCAAGTGATAACAATGTAGAGTTTAGAAAAATCTAACTATTTGACATCTTATTATATATGTAAAAAAAAGTCGGTTTAGTTACACCATTTATAACACAAGAACGGTTGGACCGATATTTATGATCTATGATTTTTTGGATTTGTCTCCGCCCCGAATAGCAGAATAACTAAAAAAACATCGGAAAAATTCACGAAAAAATTTACATGGCTAACATTGGCTAATTTTATATCTATTTAAAACGTACCTAGGTAACATGTACATATATAGATTTGGGTCGCACCCGAGCGAAGTGACGATAAGTCACTAGTAAACAAAACAAATCTTTTCCGATATTTTCGCGGATTTATTTTGATTTTTGGCTTCCGACGTCACCAAAGTAAAGGTACTTTGGTGCCATTTCTGTATTTTGGAAATCATTTTTTAGTTTTGTGGGTAGGTACCTACTACCAACTGTCTCTAACATCTATATAATGAAGACCTTTGAGCAGTCTCTCCTGTGACAATGATAGGTTGAACCAAAAATAAAAATAAGTCCGCGAACAAATCCGAAGAGATAGTTTTATTTAAAATATCATAATATATCTGCGTAAATCTAAGAAAGTAATATTTGACATTTGTAAAACTTATTTAAGACTAGCATTGCCCGCGGCTCCGCCCGCGTTTATATGACCAAAAACCGAATTCTTAGGTTTTACATATTAGTATACTCTTACATTGCAGCTGTTGTATTTTTACTCAAAAATGAGATATTTTCCTGCAGTAAAAAGTATCCTATAATATATTGACCCGGATAACCAGGTATCACCTTACCAAATTTCATTAAAATCCCTTCATTGGCTTTTCTGTGATGCGGTGGCAGACAAACAGACAGACAGACAAAAATTCTAAAAACTATAAATTCGGCCTCTGTATCGATAATAATGTCTATTACAATAAGATTTTTCAATAAATATTTAATGTACAGATTTGGCTAATTTTATTATATATTGTATAGATTAAAATTAATACAATCGAGCTATTTAAGTGTTCCATAAAGATCTTAGTTAAATAGTACTCGTATTAATCGAATTCCTTATCGTACTCAGATATTTCTAACAAACATTTTTGTTTCTCTTTAGAAATATCTATCTGAATATTATGCTTGTTTTTTTAGTTATAAATATGTTTTTATTTTAAAGTGGATAAGACGAAACGTGCAACTATTTCAAATATTTCTTTGTTCACAGTGCCGTCGGTAAAACATGTCTGCTCATCAGTTACACGACAAACGCCTTCCCCGGAGAGTACATACCAACAGTGTGAGTATCTTATAATATTTAAAAATATGAGAAATTTTTAATATAATATTAGGAACTGAAAGCAGTATGTACCTACATACGTACATATTTCGAAATTATCATTTTTCTTAGATTAAATAAACTAACTGCAAAGATTTAAGGTGTTCTTAGAAATAATGGGATTAGTCATCGATTACAATACTAATGTGAATAGCTATTTTTATCTCGATTGATTCATGGATAAAATCAACTTGAAAGTATTGCTCGAAGATTTTTCTTTATCCTCACTTTAGTAATATAATATCACATTATATTTTTTATAATTTTTGAAGTTAGTTTACTTCTTATGGCACGTTTGGAAAAAATATGAGAGTAAAATTTTTACGATGCGCTCGCACACCGACATCCAAAAAGCGACATGATGAAGTTAGCTGCATTCCTTTTACAAAAAGAGAGTTGTGACATACGGGATGAAATGTTTAGCTATTTTTTGTTACGCCAAAGAAGTATAACTTCTTACGTACATACATAAGTACACACACACGTTTTTTTATGGATTAGGTACTAGCGCCGGGTCGCCTCTAGAAAAGCACAAAGAGATCTATCCCACGGGAACCGTTTATTATCCGGGATGAAAAGTAACCTGTTGTTCAACCGGCAATATAAGCATACCAAAATTTTACTAAATTAGGTGCATAAGTTGTTGTGTACTAAGCTGTATAAGTTATTATAGTTTTTTAACTATCCCACAGGAACTCTTAAATTTTCTGGGATGAAAAGTATCTAAGATGTTGCCCGGGAATACAAGGTACCACCATGCAAAATTTCATTTAAATCGGTCTAATAGATTCGGAGATTAGCCCGTACAAACAGACAAACAGACAGAAACAAAAAAATTGAAAAAAATCTGGATTTGTTCTATTTGTCTTCTTACACCCCCCTGACTTGGTTTTTAGCATGTTTTTTCTATGTACAGACATTCGACCTCTACAGTTTTATTATAGTATAGATAATAGTTGAACTCCTAAAAGTCATAGCGTGTTATTATATAGCTTCTCTCAATAAACAGGCTATTAAATGCAAAAACAATTTTTCTAATCGAACTGGTACTTATTGAGATTAGCACGTCCAAACAAATAACAAATAATCTCTTCCGCATTAAATATCAGCATTTTGTTTGAATTTGCACCTACTTATTGTGTACTTTGACCGTTGTTATAGTTCAGTAAAGTTTTGTTCTAGTTTCCATACAAAAGCAGTTTAAACAAATTGAAATAGATGTATTAATTAGTCATAATGCCTCGGAATTACGGTCTTACGACGATGTTTTCTGAGTTTGGCAACACCTGTTGCTTTCAGAAACCTTAATCATAACGGAAGTATTAAATGCATCCATATATTATATTGTTACTAACATTTACTATATTGGTATTATATTTCTGTAGAGACAAAGTATTTGTGTTTCATATAAAATTATGAAACCAGGTCACGATTCATAAATAGAAATGAAGAGACTTTGAAGTAGGTTGTCAATATAAATATTAATTTTGAAACGATTATGATACTGCCGTGCTAACTTTATTATATGTATAGATTTTTCAGAGATGAGATATTTTCCCGCAGTAAAAAGTATCCTATATAACCAGCTACATCATAAGACCTAGATAACCAGCTACATCCCCCCCAAAGTGCGTTCACCTTGTCGTGGTGGGGGGCTCAGTAGTAGTAGTACGAAGCTAAGAAACGCACAGGGAGGTTGCCCACTTCGGTGGGCGGTGGGAGGTGGCCCTCTTCGGGGGGCGGTGTACCTTGCGGGTTGCTCCTGGTACTTCTCTGATAGCAGAGTGGACCTTGGAGTAACCCCAAGGTTGTGGTGGTCTGCTTTGGCAGACCTGCCGTCGGGGCGTCGTAGTTGAATGCGTAAGCGATCCTGCGACGCCCCATTAAGACGGGGGAAGGTTTTGTTGGGTTTTAGTGGGTAGTACTGGCTGTATTACGCCGGTGAGTCCCACACGTCGTGCGTAAATGCATTTCCCAACGTTAAAAAAAAAAAAAAAAGATAACCAGCTACATATCGTCATACCAAATTTCATCACAATCCCTGCAGTGGTTTTTCCGTGATGCGGTCAAAGACAGACAGACAAAAATTCTAAAAACTATAGATTTACCTTTGTATCGATAATAATGTCTATTTCAATAAGATTTTCCAAAAAAAATATTTAAAGTACAGATTCGGCTTAGTTACAATTTTATTATATTATGTATAGATGATTATTTATAATTATTTATAATCTTTACCGTTATTGATTTCAGATTCGACAATTATTCAGCAAATGTTATGGTAGATGGAAAACCCATTAACTTGGGGCTATGGGATACGGCGGGACAGGAAGACTACGACCGACTGCGACCTCTCTCATATCCACAGACTGATGTGTTCCTCATATGTTTCTCACTCGTCAATCCTGCTTCCTTCGAGAACGTTCGCGCTAAGGTAAATAATATTTAAACATTATCATTATAGTTAATAATTCAGCTTTTTTAACATCCCCCTTTAACTATACCCCTTAAAGCGAGAGGGATCAGGCTATAGTTATTTACCAAAATGGCCAAATGTGGGTTGATGGAATTCACACGTTTTAGAATTAACGGACCTATTGATACAGTAACAGTCTTGTCTATTAACTGTATGACTAATATTATTTTTACTAGTCCTGCTATTGATTATAAAATATATTTTTTTCAATATTTTTAATCTTAACACCTCCGTGTAAATTTCTAAGAAATTAATTAAAATTCTAAGAAACCTATTGTTAACTGACACGTCGGCGTGTCCGCGGTCGCGGAGGGATTAAATAACATAAAGCAATTATGATATTGGGGTTCCTGGGTTTGAAATAAAAATATATCAAACGAGAAAACGAGAAGGCTAAAGCGGAGTTACCCTACCGCTTCGCTACCGCTCTAAATTTAGAATTAAAAAAAAAACAAAAAAAGTAGGTGGACAAATAATATGTTAATCGTACAGTAACTGAATTAATAGTCACTTTCTTTAGAATTAGTTAAGTTCTCTTAATACATGCCGGTTTTCTCTCGATGTTTTCCTTTCAAAGTGATTGCAGCACATGAACATTTCTACAGGTAAGATGGCACGGTACGTCTTATAAATGGTATATTGTGTTTGTTGATTTAGCAATTTGTCCTTATATCTTTTCGTTTTTTAGACAGCAATATATTATAAATAGTTTACGAGATGGAGAATGACGTAGGTAACTTTTGTCCTAGCACAACTAATAACTCACGTAGACTACTAAAGTTAGGTATATCGTAAAAAGCTAAATCAAGAAAAAAGTACCTACTTAGCTCAAGGCGGGGTTGGCCGATAGATTTTAAAAAGTATTATGTAAATAGTCGTATCTAAAAGAAAATTCATTATTGACAAGTTCTGGTATGAATTGTACGTTTACGCGCTTTGTCTATTGAGGTCGACATTTATACTAGAGTAATAGTTTTGTCCCTGAAGCGTTGAAGAAATCTGAATGCAGTTGTTGCAGATCGTATTTAAAGAAAATACACTACATCTCACTATTACGAGCTATAAAATATTCTTAAATAAGATCTTATGGGATACTAAAGATAGAAAAATTATTTGCGGTAAGCTCCTAAGATATAAACATTGTTTTTGGCTTCTCAAAATACTTAAAATACTTTGTTTATTTGATGTTACAACTCTAGTTGCAATCGTTAAGACGTAAACGTTTCTTTAACAGTATTATCAGATATGTATTTTCGTTTAAAAGTTGAATAATAACTTTTAAAGCCATTTCAAAGTCGGCGTACTTGTTAACTTACATAATATACTAGCGACTCACCCTCGCTCCGCTCGGGTTCGTCCCTACTTACGTTTTAACGTTTAGTTTAGACTTCTGGATTCAGATTTCTCAGAGATGAGATATTTTCCCGCAATAAAAAGTATCCTTTATGTTGACCCGAATCTATCATCAATCGAAATCCCTCCAGTGGTTTTTCCGCGATGCGGTCACAGACAGACAGACCAAAATTCTAAAAACTATAGATTCGGCCTCTGTATCGATAATAATGACTATTTCAATAAGATATTCCAAAAAATATTTAATGTACAGATTCCACTCAGAATTTCATTATATGTATAGATTATTTTACTGATCTAGACCGCAGCTTTGCTCGCATACTTTTTATTTTCATCTAACTAAAAGAACTAAAAGCCCTATGCGTTATTCCAGGATATGGTAAATCTATTGGTTTGATTATAATTTACATCCAAACCCGTCACGAGCTATAACACATTTATATTAATAGGTTATTGTTCTATTTCCAGTGGTACCCCGAAGTCCGGCATCACTGCCCGTCGACGCCTATCATCCTCGTCGGCACAAAGCTGGATCTTCGCGAAGACAAGGACACGATTGAGAAGTTGAAGGACAAAAAACTTGCGCCTATCACTTACCCACAAGTATTTTACTCTTATGTATTTTGTATAATTTAATAGATTTGAATAAATAAGTACTCTACCTTTTTCTAAATATAAAGTTTAATCTTATTTTATATACATGTTAATACTTTCTTTGATTTACGCGAGTATTTGACATTTTAAATAAAATTATCTTCTCGGATTATTTCGCGGATTTATTTTGTAAGTCGTCTTCGGTCGTCCAGAAAGTGTTGTGAAATGGAAACCAGTCGGAAAACGGTTTTAGGGTTGATGAGTGTAACTGTATGTACCACGAAATGGCACTATAGATATCCCTTTGATTGCGAAATTATTTGCCATGAAAATTTGTATCGTTTGATAACCCTTGATTTTGACGGGGTTTGTGTTAAAATTAAAGGCGAGATCACCTAATTAGTAATTACTTTTGTGCTGTGATATTACAAAACTTATTATTTAACTAGCGAATCACCCTCGATCCGCTCGGCTACGTCCCTAGGTGATTATTTAAATTGACAAAACTTTTTTATTTATGAACCGTTTGAAATAAAACAAATACTAAACTTTAAGTGAAGCTTACCACAATATATAAGTGAAAACCGCATCCAAATAAAAAAAGATAAATAAAGATATGATAGTTTTTCTCAAATATCTTCCATGTATAGACAGCGATCAGTTACACTTTTATTATAAGTATAGATAGATTTATAGTATTAAAAACTTATAAAATAATACCAGGGCCTAAGCATGGCGAAGGAGATCGGCGCGGTGAAGTACCTGGAGTGCTCGGCGCTCACGCAGAAGGGCCTCAAGACGGTGTTCGACGAGGCCATACGCGCCGTGCTGTGCCCCGTGCAGCCGGCCAAGAAGCCGCGGAAGTGCCGGATTTTGTAAAATTGACGATCAGGTATTATTATTGTTATTATCATTTAATTATATTTTAATAGTGTTTTGTTAAAATGGAGCAGTACTTGTTAAGTTTCAACGTTATTAAGGTTATTTTGTCGAAGTTATGTTAGGTACATATCTGTAAGCTTTCTTCAATAAATTGACTCTAAAATGCAAAAAGATTTTATCAAATCAATTGGAATCATTCTTAACCGATGCGAAAAAAGGAGGAGGTCAATTTTTTTATGTTTAGGCATATTTTACAGTGTAGTCCGATTTCATAACTCAATGTACATTCCGTTTCATATACGAGTATAACTTAGTATTTATTACTATTATATCATAGAAACATTAAAAAAAACTAACTGCAGGTTGTGTTTCCATTTTTCGTCCATATTCACTGAACTGGACCTCCGCTATTTTTCGCAGCACGTGCGGCAACGAGCTCAAATTCAATCTTTGTTTATTTGACTATTTAAAACAAAACTTAGCCAAGTTTTTAGTTCAAACTTAAAAGAGTCCTATTCAAATCAGTTTATATGTATATATTTCTAAGATATTATCGCTATTTTCGTACATGTATTTGACTATTTACATACTTTACATTGATATCTTCAAAATAATTTCTATACAATAACAGAATATTAAATTTTGTGTCGCTTATCGTGAGGAGAACACTTTATTGTTTCTACAAAAAATAAATGTCTGACATAGACAATTTCTTACAAAACTTCTGTTCGGTCAATAACGCTCTTTTTTTCGGCCTAATTATTTACATTTACTTCTAAATTTCAGATAGCAGACGCGAGTCGTAGCCAGTGTAACAGCAAAGCTATAACCGAGCACTTGTTGATCCGTCTCTACCACCACAGTGCTGTAACTGTACATGGACTGCAAATGCATACAATAGATGTTAATTTTTACTGTTAACGCATCATTTATACGTGGGTGTGAGTGTCATCATGTAAACGCTTTTGTATTATCTGTGGAACGACATTGACATTGACAGTTGAGTCGCTTGTCTATGGTCAAGTGACATCCTAAGTAAGGGAACACGTTTTACAATTTATATTCGGGTGCTTTTTTCTAATGCGATCTTACTATAAACATTCCTACATTGTTGCTTCAACCGTGCGCCATTTTGTTTCCGTTTAACGCGACATATTAAAAAAGAAAAGTTTCCCAGCGTCGGTGATGAATGTGGAATTGTTAAATTTTTGTGTTTAGACAGAGATTATATTTTTCGATTTATTATTGCTTATTTTTGTTCCCATTGTTGTATTTCATTGTAAGCGTCTATAAGTACATGCGCAGTATTCGCTAAAATGTTATTAATGTTAAAATTTACGTGTAATATGTATTCTGAAACCTGCAGAATTCATAAGCAAATGTAATTTTTCGTCATGTTAAAATTATTATTGTAGTGTAAGATTTTTTACTGTTTAATAATTAATCATGAATGATTTCTGAACTCGGTTTGGTTTTTAAATGTAATGAATAGGCACAAAGTAGTCATCTTTTAAATGTCAGGTGATTCTTATTAGTTCTAAGTTCAAACTTTCAGCCTAAATCTACGCGCAACTTACTGCGTAACGTTAGATACATATCGAAGCTAGCTAAATACTAAAATTCAATAAAAATGTCTGTCTACATTATTGTTACTTTGTATATAATAAACATTTTGTTTATAATGAACACATTTTATGGTATATCCAGATGGAATTATTAATTTGAATTTTAAAACCTTTTGAGTTTTTATTTGTACGGTATTACTTACTATCTAAAATATTTTTATGTAGTTGTTTTATTCTGAAATTTAAATTTTTGATTATTCAATAAATTATTGTCTGATAAAGGAAATCTTACTGCTAATGTGGAAACTGTAATATGCCGCACAATTATTATATTAAGCATTATAACCAGATAAATTAAAGAGGGCATAGTCTTAGGAATTCGCTTTCAAAGTGTTGCCCTTTTTATTTGATCGTTTAAACTTAATCTTTTAGGAGATAATTTTCGCTGGAAACGTGATAATGGGTTTAGGCTTTAATTGACTGTCGCGGCCTCTGAGTTTTTTTTTAAGAATAGTAATTAATATAACTGTGGACAAATACGAATTTTCAGGTCAACTTTTGATTATTTTTATTCTGTAGATTCTAAGTTAATTAATGTCTAAATCCACTCCTAAAATAAGATGTAAAAGTTAGTAAACGTAATATTGCGTCGTAAGGAATGTGCAATTGTTATTGCTTATTGTAATTCAATATGAGAAACCGCGATGCCATAGACAATTTATGTAATTTTAAACATTTTTTAAAAATATAATCGTAGCAGCTTCGATTTTTTTTAAAGCATCAACAATTGCACAAATAGGTATAGCTAGTAAGGTTTTAATGTATTGTTCAGATGCAAATATTTAGAAGAAACAGCATGTAAATAACGGTAATTTTAGTATTAACTAAAATATAAGTTAACTCGCCATTTAATATGGTGTTGCATTTTTATATAACTAAAATCATTTAATAGGGCGCCTCGACCGCATTTTATTTTAGTTGAAAGTGTATTTGCTATAGTAAATAAAGGAATTATTACTTTAAAATGAATAATTTCCCTCATTACCTGTGCGCTAACTGGTACCTACATATTGTATGTCAATAACTCGTATTCGATTAAGTATTTGTCAATATAAAATTAATATTATCGACCATATTTTTCTAAGAATCTTTCAAAATAAAGTTATATGTGAACAGTTTTAAACTATTATGCATCCCATTCATAATCATACAAATTGTGATTCTCGTCTTTGTATTTAGGCAATACCGGAAATGTTTATTGATTGAAAAAAAAATGTATTTTTTTTAAGTTATTCTATGCTACTTTATCTGTGGTTTAAATAAATAGACAACATAATAATAGCATTCGACCAATATAGTTTGAATTATTAAAAAAATATACATATTTTGTTGGTTCCGTGTTTTTTTTTTTCTTAATGAAAATATGTTTTAATTAATTGAATATGCTTGGTGTGTTAGCGCATACATTTTAGTCCAAATTTTCCGTGTCCATTGTAAGGGGCACGACATTTATTGGTGTTAGCTTTTATTGTTATGTCGTTGTAACTAATACGATTTGTAACCGAATGTGCTTTTTTTCATAACAGCTTGTACGACTAATTTTAAAAATGGAACGACGATCGACATTTGATAGCTGTCAAGCAATTCTTCCAAATATTGTGAAGCCTCTGAATAATTCGAAATATATTTATATTAACTGTTCAAATTTTGTGTTTTATTTTGTTTGTCCCTACAGACAGTTTTAATTAATTTAGTTAGTGGTAGTTATTTGGTGTTAAAAAAAGAGGTTACCTGGAAATTTTTCTGGGAGTTTTGAAAATTGATTGATTGAAAGTGATTATTAGGCCTACTGGGGGATACCATGTTAAAAATGCACCACTTTCTCTAGTAACATGGTGGTGTAGAAATGAGTTTGAGTGGAGTTGAGTCGAGTTTGCAGCACTCGTACGCTGAAACTATTCATGTTATAAAAAAGGTTATTACATAAATTATAGCAAATTTTCTTTAGTTTAATTTATTATAAAAATATTTTCAACTGTTTTTAGGCGCCATTTTTTCAATATGGCGGCGCGAGCGGCAAAGATACGAGGAGGCACAGTAAAAATTCGGAAAAATACCCATCGAAATCTATAAAATCACCAATTTTCAAAACTCCCGGAAAACTTTCCAGGTAAAACTACTAAAAGACTGGACTATAATAAGAATCTAAAAATGATAATTTTAGTAAACACTATACCTACAAAAAGACAAAAACTTGACTTTAAAACTTCAAGGCTGGATTTAAAGTTTAATTTATAATATTATACTAGCGAGTAGCGACCTTTAACGGTTAGTATGAAATACAAATCTTTGAATCATGGCTTTTCTGTGCATAATATGCATGTATATAAACCTTCCTCTTGAATCACTCTATCTATTAAGAAAACCGCATCAAAATCCGTTGCGTAGTTTTAAAGATCTAAGCATACATAGGGACAAACAGACAGCGACTTTATGCTATGTAGTGACGCGAGCCAGCCATTAATGATTTTTAAGTAAAGGCGATCAAGGTCAAGCGAAACAAATACAATCTTTTTATCTCTACAATTTTTATATTTTATTTTATTTTAACGGAAAGCAGTGTTATTTAAAATATTACCACGTTGATGAAATTATATAAAGCATCACGTAAAAAATAATTTACCAAAATAAAAACCAATTGCGTAAAACACGAACGAAAAAGGTGAACCTAAGTTGACATAGAAACAAAGTTTCAAAAAGCCGAATTTTTTTACATTTGCAAGTTTTGCTACACGAATTTATGACAGAATATAGGATCGGACACATACAAACAGGTCAAAAACATAAACCTCTTATAAAGGTTAGAAACTCTATGAAACCTTTGCGTTTCACCGCAGTCGGGTAAAAAGATTTTTAGGTTTGAATTGGCGGCAAGACATGCTTGTTCCAAGCAAATGGGAAGAGTTCTTGGGTCTAGCTCGGGTTATTTTATCATTAGATACATAATTTTTATTTTAATGTAAAAAAAAAACAGAAATTATCATTGATTATAAATATTACGTACCCACCATGGCATGTTAGAGTCGCTGAGCTTCGTACCACTAAAACTTATGTCCTGTATGCTATCATCGATCGATATCTTAGATTCGAACATATATATATATTTTAAATTAATCATTGAATGGCCAGAAATTGACAGATATCTGTTCACCCAGACCTAGACTACGGCAAATATTAGTCCCTAGGGGGACTTGAATCTGTGACCTTCCACATAAAAACAACCTGACTGTGTACCTAGTTTTATTATTCATCCATGGTAGGTACTTAGATTACTAATTGATAGACACACCTACTAAGATGGCGGTGATGATTCCTTCACTAAATTTTTGTCGTTGCTGTTGACCAGCATTAGCTGTCTATTATTTTATATTGAGATGCGGAAAGTGTGGAAGGAAATTTTGTACATTCTCTTATACAATGCTGATTCTACCTTGTTAGGAAAAGTAGGTATGTGATGTGCTGGTAAAAAAAAAACAAAGAAAATATGACATTTTTAGGTGGTCTTAAACTGCAAGAAAATACTTATATGTAATAGTTATTAAAATACATCCTTTACTAGTTTATATTTAAAAAGTCAATAAAATATAAAACGACCATGAGCATCAATCTCGCTTTGTACAAAGACGAATGTTTAATTATTTACTGCGTAAAACTAGCCATAAGGTTCAATTTATATTGGTCACATCAGATAAAAGATAAAGGATTGAACTCGAAACTTGGAACTCAATGGCCAGTCGTAAGTGTAGCACTGCCAGTGAGTAGTCCACTGCGCCTGCGCACGGCGAAAGTGTTATCATACGTAATTTCGATTTATACAAAAAATATATTTGAGAATTCAAAATGACAAAAGTTCTATTAAGTCGAGAACTACCGGATATCGAGGTCAGTATTACGTTTAAATTGATACGTGCTATAAAATTGTGAATGCGTACATTTGTTTGCGATAGTAACGTCTTGGACATAATTTTCAAGGCCTGTCACACTTTGTTCCAAATAGTTCGCAATGTTTTTATTCTATAACAATATTTTCTGTTTATTATATGTATAATATCAATAAATGAGATTTTAATACAACCATTTAGATATGTAATAATTACTTGAGTTGTTAAAATAATATTTTAAACAAATTAAGCGGTTTGTATTAATTTTTGTGGTTGTTAAAGCTGTACTTACAAAAAACTGTGATATAGATGTTAAAAGTCGTCAAAGTGAGATTCTTATCTATAAAATATAATAGAAGTTATAATATATGATAAGTATCCCTCACATTATAAAACTTATTACAAGTACGTAGAACTACTCGATGGGTGTTCACTTTTAGCCTTATTATAGTATGAACATAATACATTTGTAATTTGTACGTGGCCATGATAATAGTAAAAAGTCAATTATAGATACAAGTTTTTGCTGTGTGAAGTCTCTACTCTCTAATTTGGCACATTACTGATGAAAGAATAATACATTCCTACGTATAGAACGAGTTATCGTTAAATCATACTCATAAATGCAAAAAAACTTAGTGTCCTAGCTTACACGTCTTATCGTTCAAATAGGTATATATGACCACAATCATACACTTGCGTAATACATTAAATATTGTAAGTAGGAACAATGTAACCTGAACTTATTAAGAAGATACTCTTATAGAATTCGATATTTTTTTTAACTTTAAAGACAACAAAATGATATAATCTTTAATGCGATAGTAAAATTTACAGTACAAGCATATACTTAGTATTTAATTTTAAACAAAAATTGGAAGTTTTAAAACGTAAAACCTACTAGCGGCTCACTCTCGTTTCGCACGAGTTCGTCCCTAGTGAAAAACAAATCTATCCCGCGGGAACCGTACGTTTTTCCGGGATAAAAAGTAGCCTATGTGCTATTTCAGACTATAATCAATCTATGTGTCAAAATTCATCCAAATCCGTTCTGCCGTTCTGGCGTGATTGAGTAACAAACATCCAACCCATCCAAACTTTCGCATTTATATTAAGTACTAGCATTGCCTGCGGCTCCGCTTGCGTTTAGATGACCAAAAACGAAATTCTTAGGTTTTACATATTAGTATACTTTAACATTGCAATTTTTCGTCTTTTCTCTCAAAAATGAGATATTTCTCCGCGGTAAAAATTCTTCAAAAATAGAAACCTATTAAACAAACAGGCAAAGACATTTAGCATTTATAATATTAGTGTCGATTCTTATAAGTATTATTATACACTAGCATTGCCCGCGGCTCCGCCCGCGTTCAGATGACCAAAAACCAAATTCTTAGGTTTTACATATTAGTATAGGGGAAGGTGGGGGAATTGCGGACGCTTAAGCGGAATCAAAAATAAAATTCAAACTATTAATAATAATCAGTCTGTCTTTATTAATTATTAAACTATAGCTATTTACCTATTAAATCAACAATAATTATTAAATGAGATCCATCAACATTTATTAAATTTTAATCAAAAACAAAAACATATATGTCCGTAATTACCCTTAGCTCTTGGGGTAAATACGGACCAGTGCTGGGTTAATTGCGGACAACATGGGGTATTTACGGACGAGCTCCAATTTCATTTGCAGAATTCGCAAACGTAGCCTCTTGAAGAAGACCCAGCACTGCAATTTTCATGTGCCCAATTCTTGCATTTTAAACACATAATCCAGTCTTCGGTGGGTGGGTCAAAATACTTTTCCTGGCAATAAATGCAGAAATATTCATCATTTTCTTTATCACATTCAATTTTTTTTAAGTTTCTTAAATCTTTTGGTCGTTTTTCTTTAGTCAGTTTTGGTCTCTTATTTGTAGTTTTGGTCTTCTTTTGTTCTAGGTTCTTTCTCTTTCTTTCTATTTTTCTTTTGTTCTTTTTGCTCTAGGTTTACTTTTTCCTGTGTGCTGGTGAAAATAATGGAGTGTTTCTTTTTAACTAATCGTTTTGTACGAGTAGGTTTTATAGTTGGAACTTGCACTATATCACTAAGTGGTACTAAGGCAGATGGACAAGTTTGACTTGTTATACTTTGATTAACACCAGCTTCACTAACATCATCCACTAATGCAGACGTAGGTATTGTTTCGTTTAAATCGTCAAGGTTGGCATCATTATTGGAAAGTTGAAATATTTCCTGAAATTCTATTGGATTAGAAATATTTTGATTGGCAGCATCACAGACAACATGAGATTCATTCTGGGACTCATTTTGGCTTGAATTGTTGGTATTTGTTTGTATCCGTTGTTCAAGAGGAGGGACTGATGAAAACATATCACCAAAACTTTCAAAAGTGTTTTTAAATTTATCTCGATCCATTGGACAAATTCCAGCAGACCTAAAGCCATTCATAGCTTTATCAATACTTGTCGTTCTATTAAAAGCCTTTGTATAAAGGCCTACAACATCATATGCCGTAATTTTGGTTCCTGGATGGTTGACCATGAAGGATTCACATTCCCTGTTATATGCTGTTTTTAGTGGGCCATGGAAAGTTAAATCTAAAGGCTGCATTTTATGGGATGTGTGAGGAGGCAAAGTTAAAACATGTATAAAATTCTTGCGACAAAATTCATGAGCTCTCAAACTAATGTGGCTTTCATGGTTGTCCAGTATAAGCAAAATAGGTTCATCTGCAGATGGTTTCGCAAATGCTTTGAAATGCTGAAGCCAATCAACGAAAATTGATTCAGTTATCCAGCCTGAGTCAGAAACACAAGCTACCATGTTACTGTTACTGTCCTTCATAAGCAGTGCATTCATCCGCTTTCTTTTAAATATAAAAAATGGGGGAATGTATGTGCCTCCAGCATTGAAACAATTTATAACTGTGGTCAAGGAACCACGTTCTGCGCTAGTACATTTACCTACTTGTCTTAAACCTTTCGGTGCGAGAATCCTGGAATTTCGTTGTACAGTACTAATCCCCGTTTCATCAACATTGTAGATTGAATTTGACTTAAATTGGTATTTTACCATGAGTGTTTTTAAATTTTCAAAAAATATATCTATTTCTTCTTGATTAAATGCTGTGATTCTATTTATTGAAGTAGCTTCTGGTCTGCGAAGTGATATATTGGGGTGTCTCGCCATAAAATTGTAATACCAATCTATACCTGCCATTTTGGTATCTTTATTGAAGTCATTTGCTATGTTATTAGCAGCGGCAAAATCAAAGGCTATTTTTCTTAAGGTAGGAATTGTTATCCCAAAGAAGGCTTTACAACATTTTAAAATAAATTCGACCAGTTCATTTTCTTGAGATTCATTAAAAACTGATTTCTTTCCTCTTTTTGGCATGGTACTAATACAGGCTTTTTTCACTTGATCAAAAAGCGTCGCTCTGGGAATGCCATACTTCTCTGCCACCTGTCGAAAAGGAGTCTTTTTGTCTTTAATTTCTTGCACAGCTCTTTGTAAAGTTTCAATGGTGTAAGTAGGTAGTTTTTTCTTTATATATTTTCGAGGCATCTGGAATATAGAATTATTTCTATAGGTTTTGATATATAATAGGTTAATTACAAAAAAGAATATAAATTTATATAAAAATAATAGGTTTTGATAAATAATGGGGTAATTACGGACGTCCGTATTTACCCCAGGCCATTTGTCCGCAATTGACCCAAACGAGTTCGAAAAAGTACAACAACAAAAATTTTAGGTTAACAAAATTTACCAAGACAAACGGTTGTACTATTTACTCGTCATTAACATCGCAATCGACAGAAAATATGACATTCTTACTGACACTTATTCTTTTTGAATAACACTCAAAATACTTTATACCAAAAATTACATCAAAATCACAAAAAATGTAAAATTTTAATTACCTTGAAACGTGTGCGCAGCCGTCTGTCGGGAATGTTTAGTGGGCACTCAAGATGGCGGAACGTAACGCGTGATCGCGGCGGCGGGACGCGGGCGGCAGGTATAGAATAGATATATGTTAGTCCGTATTTACCCCGCGTCCGCAATTCCCCCATCGTCCCCCTACATTGCAGTTTTAATATTTTTGTAAAAAATGAGATATTTTTCTGCGGTAAAAAGTATCCTATATGTTGACCCGGATAACCAGCTATCACCATACCAAATTTCATCAAAATCCATCCAGTGGTTTTTCTGTGATGCGGTAACAGACAGACAGACAAAAATTCTAAAAACTATAGATTCGGCCTCTGTATCGATAATAATATCTATTTCAATTAGATTTTCCAAAAAATATTTAATGTACAGATTTGGCTTAGTTACAATTTTATTATATGTATAGATAGTAGCAAGACTACAATTCGTAAAGCCTAACATTATTGACAAAATGCTATTAAGATGAAATAAATGAATGAGGCCTTTAGCTTGTGTAAGGCAGCTAAATATTTTTCGAAATAATCGCAATAGGCGTATACAATAATGGTGCATCGTAAAAAGGTGCCATGAGCCATCATTATTTTAACATATAACAACAGTATTATCATAATAACTATCATCAGGGGCGGCCTTAGCCATTGCGAGGCCCCGGGCAGTAGATCTTTGCGAGGCCCTTATCCTTTACGGAATTTATGTGAATTGAAAATATTTTTAATGATGATGCTTGACGAGAAATGCAAAAGTTATAAATAAATAAATTTAGAGTTTTAAAATTGTATATTGGAAATTCAGAAAAGTTAACAAGCACAAAGAAGAAAAATTTATTATTTTGTTAACATTTTTAGTCTTGCTTGCCATTAATTCTCGTGACTTGCCATTAATTCTATAAACTCATTTTGAATATTTTTCCGAGATGTGGACATTATTTGTATCCCTTTAGAATTCACGGGCTTGGAGGAGCCCGGCCGTTTGAAAGACTTGTGTTCCTCAGGTTCAACACGTAGAGACCCTTGAGATTTAAGCGTTGAACATGAAGCATCAGCCGGGATCCATCTCTGAGTAACCCATAAAAGGAGTTGCTCAAATATGGTCCAGATAATGCGTAGGGACTATGGAAAATTTAAAACACTAATAGGGTCTATGGAATGGAGTTTGGATGGGCTACAAAACTGGGCTATTGGATAAGACTATCGGGCGTTCGCCTTCTCAACAGTCTCAGATTCAATATTTGGCGTACGGTTACTCGCCTCCCACTCGCGGTATAATGACTCGGGCACAGTATCAGCGTGGACGGCTAAAGGTGTCGAGAAATGTGCACTGGTTTCACCATCGCAAATGCTCGTGAGCGGGTTTCCTCGTTATTTTGCATATTGAGCACTTCTACTTTTTTAAGCTTGGCTCTTGCGCTCCACTCTGGAAGGCCAAAGACTCTGGGCTAAAGAGTCAATAGATGTACAGCTTTTATAAGCTAGTCTCTAAATTTAACCATCCGTTCACACCCGTTCTCTAAATTTAACCATTTTAACATACGATCTTTTTGCAGTCGACTAGATTAATGAAACTTTAAATATTTATCCAAGTTTTTCCAGTTGAAAACTTCTGCACTGGACCCAATTTTTTGTATTCTATTCTGAACAATCGACAGAGAATTCAGTAAATGGCATATTTTGTTTGTGAATAAATCATCCAGTGCCTGTCTAGTTTTTCGCCATTAGCTAATATTTTATTGTAATGATACCTATTCAATGAATGAGTCTTTCTGTATAGTAAGTCTCAGTAACAGCCCGGAGTGGAGAAGTTGGCGGTGTTTCACCCCCGTGCCTCGGAGAGCACGTAAAGCCGTCGGTCCTGCGCCTTAACTCTCACTGGTCGTGTCGAGCAGTCGTCCCACCGGAGTATGAGAGTGATAGGAATAGAGAGTGCACTTGTACCTGCGCGTACACTTGAGCACTATAATATCTCCTGCGCAGTTGGCTAGACTCAATGAGATTGGCCGCCGTGGCTGGAATCGGCTTGGAGAACATCATCATCATCAATGAGTCACCGTCCACCATCGTTTGAAGAATCGTTTGAATTCTGTCTTAGAACAGATTAGACCTTTCAATAAAATCTTAGTTCGGTCTGCATCAGTAATTATTGATGGCCATAAATCTGGGTCATTTCAAGGATTCAGATTTTCAATTCCGCTACTGGATGTAGACTTAGGTAGATTTAGGTACGTATTTTTGGCTGGATAGTGTTCACGACGGCGATGGCGGTGGAGTAACAATGATGTTGCTTACTCACTGTTGTTGTTGAAAAAAATATTGGGTTAGGATTAGAATGCAATAACATGTAACTTTCAGTCACTAAAGAGTCTCAAGGACGTGGAAGCTTCTTGACCATTGTCTTTTATATATTTATACAAATACACATAAAGATATTGTCTAAATGCTTTCTTTTGATAGCTTGTTGCCTTTTTGAACTATTGAACTAATTTTTTCTACTGGCAACACAATCGGCCAAACTCAGTTTGAAAATCATTTTTGCACATAAAATTAATAAAAAAATTACAAGCAGTTTAACGCAGTTTTTTTACTAATTCACTCTTTACTATTATTACTTATACTTAATAGTGCAAGATTTAATATTAATAAAGATTTATTGAAAAATACGTGATATGTGCTTGTACTTGCACGTTGTGGGTTTAGTAATGTATGGCGTAAGGCACGAGATTCTAATACACTTGGGTTGTTGTGCGAAGGCGCGAGGCCCCTGAAAGCGCGAGGCCCTGGGCGGTTGCCCTGCTCGCCACCCCCTAAGGCCGCCACTGACTATCATCATCTCAGCCGAAAGACGTCCACTGACATAGGCTTCTCCCAAAAAAATTCACGACAAACGGTTTTGAGCTGACCACATCCAATGGATTCTTGCTCTATCAAAATATAAATTACATAAATATATGAATAAAAGATAATGTTTATTAAATAACAAAAGTTAAAGGCAAGTCATCTCTGGTTGCGTAGGTAACAGAATTCGAGATAACCACTATCGAGGCTGATAAATTTATTTGGTATCAGTAACATGAAGATTTATTTTGAAGATATTATTTTAATTCTAATTGTTTCGCAACTACTAAGCATGACCTATGATTGTTTAACATTAACTCATACAAGTTTTTGCTTTGCGATGTTTTTGTACACGTCATACTAGTTTACTTTTACGGTAATTTTGAAGTCGCGGTATATTTTTACTACTAGCGATAGCGGTTGATTCCCCATACAAACTTTCATCGCCATTTTCAATCCCTTAGGGGATGATTTCCGGAATAAAAAATATCCAATGTCTTTCCCAGAGTCTCAAACTATCTTGTTACCAAATTTCATCTAAATCGGTCCGGTAGTTTTTGAGTTTATTCGTTACAAACATACAAAAATACAAATATTTCCTTTTTATATATAGTAATGTAGATGAAAGCACAAGTTCATATTATATTCAAAGTTGGTTCAAGTACCTTTGACATACTGTATATTATTTATATATTATTAGGTATATTACAATTATAAATTATAAGATTTGTCAATAAGATCTCTTGGTTTCAAATAAGTAGAGTAGGTGTATAAAACATCATACTATCTTATCTAAATGTATAATTAATAATCATAAATCACGACGTCATTAATAGGGATATATTTTTATATAATTACTGATATTAAATAAATATTAGTGTATAGTTATCGTCAAAATATATGGCGCTTGAACTTGTTTGCTGATAAGTTTGAAATTGTAACAGTAGAAATAGTGGTATGTTGCTTAAATTAATGAATTTATTCAATCCATCCTCTTTTTCTTTTTTGTGTTCTAAATATGAGAAAAATGACATAAATGCGTTTTCAACTTGGTAATTCCCAAGGAACTTGAAACCCTTCTTGCTTCAAACATAAATAAATATTATCTACATATTTTTTCAGAACCTCTTGAAGTTGAATCCAAAGGTCAAGCCTTTCAGCAATTTGGTGCCATCAGCTCAAACCAAAAAGAACAAACAGCATTGGAAAAGAAATACAGATAGAAAATGTGGAGTAAGTAAACTAGTTGTTCTTAAAAAATCCCCCAAGTACGAGTCGAACTCGCGCACTATCTATAAAAACGGCAAAACAACGTTACGTTTTTTGTATGGGAGCCCTCCTGAAATATTTGCTTTATTTTAATTTAATTTTTTATTTTTGAAGTGAATATACAACTAAATATTCTGTAAATATTTCAAGCGTCTACCTGTTGCCGTTATCAATATCGAGCAAAAACGAGCAAAAAAAACACGTTTGCTGTATGGGAGCCCCATTAAATATTTATTTTATTCTGTTTTTTTAGTATTTGTTGTTATAGCGGCAACAGAAATACATCGTCTGTGAAAATTTCAATTAATATCACGGTTCATGAGATACAGCCTGGTGATAGACGGACAGCAGTCTTAGTAATAGGGTACCGTTTTACCCTTTGGGTAGGGAACCTTAAAAAGGATGTTTTAGACTGAGCAAGGAGCTTTGTATATTTCTAAGAAAATGTCGTACCAGTAGTCTAAACTGATATTACATTTATAAGAGGTTTTAATTTATTTGTTAATTTTATTTTCACTGTTAGAAATCTATAAGTGCAGTAGGTACAGAATAGGTACTATATTATATACATAGGGATATTCTATTGAAGTTCAAGGCAAGTAAAGTCGTGGGCGAAAACTTATTACCGAGAACTTAACTAACATTGCATAAAACTTTTTTATTTTAAAATTATTATCTATGTTAAACTAGCGGCTCACCCTCGCTTCGCTCGGGTTTGTCGCTAGGTACGTTTTAAATATGTAGATATAAATAGTTATTAGCCAGCGTTAGCCATATAAATTTTATATTTTTTTTGTTAATAATATTGATAAATATTGAAATTAATATTTATACGATACTAACGTCACTCAATTGTTTTGCCTTCCCGGAACCTCTCCACTAACACTTAAACTTTATGGTATGGTATTAAAGTTCAATTTGACTTTTATGTATTTTTACGAATCTTTTGTATGGGAGTATAGGAGTTTTTAGACTTTTTCAGGCATTTTTTTAAATGTTTCTCTCTGTAAGAGCCATCCTCGTACTTCAAGGAATATTCTAAAAAAATATTAACGAAATCGGTTCAGCTGCTCTCGAGATTTGCGCTTAGCAACACATTCAGCGATTCATTTTTATATTATAGATTAACTATCAGCTCCTTATAAGACGTGAGAAAAGAAGAGGCAAAATAGGAATTACAATTCACAACTCATACATTTTAATCTTCAGATGAGGTGACGATAGAGTTATATAAATATTCGTACATGGTAGCCATAAATGTAAATAATATTTGTCATAAATCATTCAATTTTTATCTTATTCAAGATAAATCTTAAAACTTTATTTTAAATTGTCTAGATAAATATTTAATATAGATTGACATATCGGAATTAGAGGGATTAAAGTAAGAGTTTGACCTAACAAACCAATCATCCCTATTTAATTTTAATTATACTAACTATCGACGACATGTTTGGCTCAGTTTGTAGTGACCCTACTTGCTGCGCCAGCGGTCGCGGGTTCGAGTCCCGCTGGGGGCATTCATTTGTGTGATAAGCACGAATGATTGTATTCCAATCATGGGTTCCAATATTTATAATGTGTATGTATTTAAAGTTATATATGTGTAGTGTTATCCAAAGCTCAAGCCTCGTAGCGTACCATGAAACTAGATGGTGCTGTGTCTTAATGTCTCAACATATTTATTTATTTATCCAACCTGATACAGACATGTCCAACCCTCGAGAAGAACTTCGACGACATAAAGCACACAACTTTATCTGAACGTGGGGCACTAAAAGAAGCAGCGAGATGCCTTAAATGTGCGGACGCTCCGTGCCAGAAATCCTGTCCTACCCAAATTGATGTTAAAAGTTTTATCACCAGCATCGCAAATAAGGTTCGTTTTGCAAAATTAATTTAAGTTATTCTAATTTGAAGGGAGAGTTGGATTTAGAACTTACTTTTAACTGAGCCTAAACAGAGAGCTTCGGCCTTCGGAATACAAATGTTAAGTTTTTTTATTCTGAGATAAAATAGAATAGCCTATATCTCTCTATCTCTTTTTATTCTGACGGAAAATTGTATAATCAACAATACACGTCAGACTAGATATGAATAAAAAACATTGTACTCGTATAAACCTATCTAAAATAGCTACCTTATATGTTATATTCCTTGATCCTTTCTTAGATTTACTATATTTGTAAGATTAAGTAACTAATTGCCCAGACTTAATTTAAACCCATTTAATCGCTTATTCATACGAACGTGATAACCGATATCAAGTTTTTAAATAAAATTGCTGATCCCAAGATAATAACAATGTAGATATCCTCTGTGTCCTTTGTACTGTAGTTTCAGGTGTTAATACTATTTCTTCCAGAATTATTATGGGGCAGCTAAAGCAATATTGTCGGACAATCCCCTTGGACTCACGTGTGGCATGGTGTGTCCGACTAGTGATCTATGTGTGGGTGGATGTAACTTGCACGCGAGTGAGGAGGGCGCTATCAATATCGGTGGCTTGCAGCACTTTGCCGTTGATGTAAGTAAAATCCATAAATATTTAATAAATTTCAGGAATATATCATGGTAAATATTTAATCTCTTAAATTACCTACTATTGCACCAGTAATTGTTGCAATCGCCACTGGAACACGCTTGCCTCCACGATGGAACAGCCAGCCCCATGATGGGGTCAGGTTGGTCCTTATCAACTTTTTATATATTATAATTAATATCTATGTCTATTCAATTTGAAACAAAAATAAATTCTTTATCTATTTATTCATAAATCTTGACTCGACCTATCTTTTTCATTCTTTGTGTTGTTTGAAAATTGACACTTGAAACCCTGACCGGTTATAATGTTTATGTCTTTCAATATTTAGATATTTATGAAAATGGGAATCTCTCAAACGCTAGATCCTAATATGAAACCGTTAGCGAAAGGAGGAAATCAAAAGATCGCACTAATAGGCGGAGGACCAGCCAGCTTGAGCTGCGCATGCTTTCTCGCCAGACTCGGATACAAGAACATTACTGTGTATGAAAAGGAGAAATATCTAGGAGGTCTTAGGTAACTGTATAAATAATAAACCGATATAGGACTTAAAAAAAATCTATGAAATATTAGGTATAAATTAAAGATATAAAAAAAACTATTCATGTAATAAAAACTTTAAAAAAAAGAACCGACTCGCCAGACGATACAAATCAAAGCACACCAACTTCGAAAATCTCTGATTAGGTCTATAGTAAATGAAAACTACCAATCAGTTATTCTTACCTTTAAAGTTTTTTTTTGAAGTCGATTTTTATTACGTTAAAAAAGTCTCCATTTTTAGTGTAGACATAGTAGTAGCAAATTAACAATGTAAGAAGAAAGTATTTTAAAATTCAGTAGGTGAAAAATCAATCACCCCTTTTTTCTACACACTGTATAAAGTTATGTGTAGTCAAATATAAAAAAATATATATAATACATATATATATGTCAATTTGAGAACCTCCTACTTTTTTTTGGACAGTTAAAAATGTCTAAAGTAGTTAGATATACTTTTATAATAGAATGCAGTATTTTCATTATATTATTTTACTTATTTTTCAGTTCATCTGAAATCCCTCAATATCGTCTTCCCTACGACGTAGTTCAGTTTGAAATAGATCTAATTAGAAACCTTGGAGTCAAATTTGTGACTGGACGAAAACTCTCTTCAAAGGATCTAACTGTTGATGTAAGTAGTTTTAATAACAACTAATTTACCTCAGTTTGAAAAAAAAATATCAAGGTTATTACTGTACTCGTATCATACAAGTACAGTAATAACTATATTTTTTTTGATCTCCTGAGCAGGTAACTATTATTTAGAATATAAAATAAAAGTCGCAAGATATTAAAAATAATTATTAATTATCCATAATTTTGGCACAAAGACAAATCCATAAGCTTGGGACACCACTATCGTTATTATTTGGAATATTAATTTTTATATTACCTTTTAACGCTTAAATAGAGTTACGGGTTATTATTTTAGGGTCTTTTAAGAGATGGTCATGCGGCAGTCTTTCTAGGTATTGGTTTACCAGAACCAAAAAATGTGCCTATTTTTAAAGATTTGACTACAGATATGGGATTTTATACGAGCAAGGACTTTTTACCACTTGTATCGAGAGGAAGTAAACGAGGTAAGATACTGTATTAGCATAACCAGTTTTATATCCGGCTTGAAGGACCAAGTTTGTAATTTCATAATTATTAATTATTATATTACATGAAATAATAAGTTTAAGGTTTATTTACCTAAAAATTGTTTGTAGTTATATATCTTTGCAACATATATTACCATACTTTTAATTGATATAACATTTGAAATAAAACTATCTTTTCAGATTTTTTCGCGGATTTATTTTGATTTTAATTATAAAAATAATATAATAAAATATTATTATAGGAATGTGCGCTTGCAAATCAGCATTACCGGAGTTATACGGCAATGTCATAGTGCTGGGCGCTGGCGATACCGCGTTCGATTGTGCTACATCGGCCTTGCGTTGCGGCGCGAGGAGAGTGTACGTCGTGTTCCGCAAAGGTTTCACCAATATACGAGCTGTGCCTGAAGAGGTACCCCGGAATTCTTAATTTATATAAGTAGTATATTTGTTTTTTATATTGTATTCGGCCCTTTTTAACGTCCCATTGCTGGGCACGGGCCTCCCTTCAGTACGAGAGGAATCAGGCCATAGTCCACCACGCTGGCCAAGTGCGGTGTGGCGGACTGTTTTTTATATAGTAGGTAGTTTCAAATTCTACAGATACTTTATTCAACATATTTTAACCAACTTTTTTTCGTGCTTAATTAAACATAAAAAAATCTTTTAATTTGTTTAATTTCAAAAGTAACATCGTAAGCTTCATTTTTTAAAATAACAGTGTTAAATAGTAATTATGCTAACTAATACATATTTTATTTACAGGTCGATTTGGCAAAAGAAGAAAAATGTGAATTCGTACCGTTCATGTCTCCACAAGAAGTTATAGTCAGAGATGGAAAGGTAATAATTATAATATTTATTGGTAAAAATATCTTTGCAAATTAATTTACCTATAGGATGAATCGAGTCGAATTTGTAGTTTCTGTTTAGATTAATATTATAAGTAATTGATACCTTATTTCAAGGTCTAGGTCACGTGGATTCAAAACCTGAATCTTTTTAGCCACGAGTTAAATACTAACGGCAACTTATGAACTTTGGACAAGTGACAAAGATTGATTTATGATTTGATAGAACAAACTACTCATATTTATTATTATTAGTATACTTATTTATGTCGATAATACTTTTAATTTACTTTTCTAATTACTGTGAAAAAGGTAGGGAAAACATTTTATTTGTAAATCATTTTTTCCAGATTGCAGCACTAAAAATGTGCCGCACTGAACAGTTAGATAATGGCGACTGGATAGAAGATCAAGATCAAATTTTGCAGTTAAAAGCTAATTTTATCATATCCGCTTTTGGATCTGGACTTTATGACACAGATGGTATGTTTAAATATATCATTGATTTTATTCAAATACTAGCTAACTCGATAGATGTTGCCCTATCCTATATTTCAATAAAAATTACGCACACACTCACTTGACCAGCGTGCTGGACTATGGCCTGATCCCTCTCGTATTGAAGGGAGGCCCGTGCCCAGCAGTGGGACGTTAAAAAGGGATGAATATATATTTAAAAAAAAAACAAATTAGCTAAATCAGTCCAGCTTATTTCAAATGCTTATCAACGAACAACATTTCGTTTTCACTAAATAGATTAAAAATTTTAATTTTTGCAAATTTACAGTTAAAGAAGCAATGGCAGGTGTGAAACTTAACCGCTGGGGGCTACCGGAAGTAGATAGTAATTCTATGCAAAGTGTCAGCCAATCACAAGTATTTGTTGGAGGAGATTTGGCCGGCGTTGCAGAAACTACAGTTGAATCTGTAAATGACGGCAAGACGGCAGCTTGGTACATGCATTGTTATTTACAGGTAAGTGTAAATTATTATTACTGAATTAGATCATGAGGTGAAAGCTTCACCAATCGTTTTAATCTATTATCTTTTACAAAAAGACATTGATATCACATCGTCCGTTAAATTATAAGTTTATAACAAACGATCGCATTATGCGAAATATAAAGTGTTATAATATGTATGTTATGACGATGTGATCTACTAACAAGATTATTCGATAGTTATAATGAAAAAATATAACAAAACGAAACAATAATATATACAACGAATAATGGCAATTTCAGGGTATCCCATTCGATTCACCAGTCGAGCTACCAAAGTTCCACAGTCCGATAGACGAAGTAGATCTCTCCGTAGAGGTGTGCGGCATAAAGTTTGAGAACCCGTTCGGTCTCGCGAGCGCGCCGCCCACCACCAGCTCGGCCATGATCCGGCGCGCCTTCGAGCAGGGCTGGGGCTTCGTTGTCACTAAGACTTTTGGCTTGGATAAAGTAATATATTTTACTTTTAGAATTTTCATTCAATTCAATTTTCTTGTTAATGGCTTCAAAACGTGCCAGTCGGACACAGATTACTTAGCCAATGTCATGTAGAATGGCACGAGAGAGATTGCTCAGTAAAAAAATTGTTTATACACTACTTTTTGATCGAGTATTTTATTCAGAATTCCTGCAATTTGCTTTGCTTAATATATCCGTATAACTGTAATTTTGTTATTCCACAACCACGACCACTCACACAGTATGATATCTAATAACTCTGCATATTTCAAACCTTTGGTTATTTTTTTTATTTACATAGCTTTCTTTTTACTTCTGGTTAATTTAAGGTAAAATTTTAATTAAAAATACTTATGTTTTCAGGATTTAGTAACTAATGTGTCACCTCGAATTGTCCGTGGTGTCACTTCTGGTGAAAACTTTGGTCCTGGTCAAGGTTCTTTTCTGAATATCGAACTTATTTCTGAGAAATGTGAAGCGTATTGGTGTCAGAGTATAAAAGAGTTGAAGAAAGATTTTCCTACAAAGGTAATTTAAATTGATATTTTAAATATACCTAATTTATTACATTTTAAATATTCTTATGTAACGTATATAACTATTAGCAGAAAAATATTCCTTTATGCACGATTTAAATATAAGTATTATTATTATAATATAATAAAATTATTATGAAATAAAAGCAGTAAATCCAATTAATTCATTATAATATTTATGTGCAAAATATTCAACGCAAATTAACAAGTGGTATTATATTTTAGGTGGTGATTGCTTCGATTATGTGCTCATATAACGAGTCTGATTGGACGGAATTAGCACAAAAAGCCGAAGCATCCGGAGCTGATGCATTAGAACTTAATTTATCTTGCCCACATGGCATGGGTGAATCTGGTATGGGGTTAGCTTGTGGACAGGTGACCATTATTCTAATAAATAAGAAAAATATACATATTACATACGTTTTTATACATTTGATTAATATATACTGAAATCTATCCTATAGGACCCCGTACTGGTGAAAGGAATATCTCAGTGGGTACGGAAAGCAATTAAAATCCCATTCTTCGTTAAACTGACCCCGAATATTACGGACATTGTTAGTATTGCCACGGCAGCTTACGAAGGTATATCGAAATATTTTATCACCACTAGTATACTTAATTGTTGTTATTATGAAAAATTATATTTATTAATATTTTATTTATTTAATAAAAAAAATAAAATTATAAAACAGAATAAAAAAATCGAAGAAGAAAAAGTAAAAAATAAAGTAAAAATAAACAATAAAATTAATGTTTGATTCAAAGGTGGCGCAAGTGGCGTGTCAGCTATCAACACGGTTTCCGGGTTGATGTCAGTCAGAGCTGACGCTACTCCGTGGCCCAAAGTTGGTATGTTTACATCATTTGCTTTTCTAAATATTATTGACGTTTTAACGGTTAGTATAGATTTCTCAGAGATCAGATATTTTCCCGCAGTTAAAAGGATCCTAGTATATGTTGACCCGGATAATCAGCTATCATATTTAATCAAAATCTGTCCAGTGGTTTTCTCGTGATGCGTTCCCAGACAGACAGAGAAAAATTATAAAAACTATAGATTCGGCCTCTGTATCGATAATAATGACAATTTCAATAAGATTTTCCAAAAATTTTTTAAAGTAGTTATAGATTTGACTCAGTTAAAATTTTATTATAAGTGTTAGATGAAAACATATAAAATTTACAAGAAACTTATTTTTATAAAATTATTTATATTACTAATAAGTTGCTTTTCGCTCGATAAGAGAGGCTTCGTATGCTCGAAAGCGACCATACTTCTTCCTTACTCTTCACCTCAGGTGGTAGGGCGCTAGTGTCGAAAATGAATATCATATAATAAGCTACAGATAGTGCAGTTTTGTGTTCGTAATTTAACTGCAGAATTCTCTAGCACTTCACAGAGAAACTTATTTATCAAATTTTAATCATGCATGTAAATAATCCCTGAGTAAAATATCCTGACGTAGGAACAAATTACAAGGGTTCCCCTTTTCCTTTAAACTACAGAATCTTAATAAATGTCGGTAAATTCTAATTTTTAGGCCGCGAAAAAAACACAACCTATGGTGGAGTATCTGGGAATGCAACTCGTCCAATGGGACTACGAGCTGTGTCTGCGATCGGCAACAAGTTGCCCGGCTTTCCCATATTGGGTATAGGGGGTATAGATTCCGCAGACTCCGCTATGCAGTTTATTATGTGTGGAGCGCCCGTTGTACAGGTGAATTGTAATATACATTTGAAATAACGAAATGGACAATCTGTTTTGTATCAATAAAAATATTGTAAATATATGTATATATATATTGTTAATTCATTTGGTGATTTGGTCTTATTTCATGTAGTAGCGAAGGTTGGATCTACATTATTTTAAGTTGCAGATTGCTTTACATTACATGCAGCTCAAAATTCTAAATTAATTATAACTCGTGCTGTTTATTATTTGGGTATTATTGTGTTTAAGCTGACTCAAAATATAGCAAAATAATAAAAAATATTACAGATATGCAGTGCTGTACAAAACCAAGACTTTACGGTAGTAGAAGATTACATAACCGGGTTGAAGGCGTTATTATATCTCCGAACTCGAGGTCTCTCAGGATGGACCGGTCAGTCACCGCCAACTGTGAAACATCAAAAAGGAAAACCTGTGCAGACTCTATATGATGACGGCGGAAAAGTATTATCTTTGTTATAATTCAATTATTTTAAACAAATTTAAATGTTATGTACGTACTTGTAATGCGGACTACATTATGCCTTACAATATTTCGAAATCGAATCTAGGGCTGAGGACATATAACTAAGTAAACAACAGCAGACACTGATCAAAGAATTTACATGAATATTTAACAACTTTATTATATTTATAGGTTCTCGCCCACTTTGGTCCATACAATAAAAAACGTGAAGAAATTCTTCACAAGATGAGGCTTCAATCAGATATATTAGGAGATAATCAAGTAGATTGTCCATTATCCAATAACAACATAACAAATGGATATGCTAAAGTACCAAAAATTCAAGATATCTTAGGCGAAGCTCTACCAAGGATCGGTGCTTATAAGGTTTTAGATAATACAAAACAAGTGGTTGCTCTCATTGATGATGTAAGTTGATTGTTAAATTAATTCATGCCTACTTATTATCATTAAAGATTGATAGAAATCTTTAATATGTGGAAAAAGTTTGCTAATTCAAGTGCTTTAAATATTTCAGGATATGTGTATCAATTGTGGCAAATGCTATATGGCGTGTGCAGATTCTGGCTATCAAGCTATCGAGTAAGATATTTTAACTTATTTAAATAGTATTTAGATAAAAAAATCTATAGGTACCTACTATATCTATATTAATATTATAAAGAGGTAAAGTTTGTGAGTTTGTGATGTTGTAGGGGGTAATCTCAAGATCTACTGAACCGATTTAGATGAAATTTGGTAAGAAGATAGTTTAGAGACCCTGGGAAGGACATAGGGATATTTTTTATCCCGAAAATCATTCCTTAAGGGGGTAAAAATGGGGATGAAAGTGTGTATTGGGAATCAAGCCGGGGACGAACCCGAGCGAATCAAGGGCGAGTCGCTAGTTTTAAGTATAAAAGAACAGATTTCGATGAAATTAGACTGGATATGGATTTTTGAATGTGGACATAAGCTTCGTTATATCTACGTGCCACATATGTACGATGCATGTGGATAAAAAAGTTTTACTATTAAAAGTCCATTTTTTTTACAGATTTGATGAGGAGACGCATATTCCACATGTAACTGAAGATTGTACGGGTTGTACTCTATGTTTGTCCGTTTGCCCCATCGTAGACTGTATATCGTAAGTATAAACACAATAAAAAAACATTAATTTATTACCATAATTACTTTTTTTTTTTTTTTATGGGACTAAGGGGGCAAACGGGCAGGAGGCTCACCTGATGGAAAGCGATCACCGCCGCCCATGGAGCGATCACCGCCGCCCATGGCGGCGCCGCCGCCATCACTTATTTACTTATATTAATGTAAAAATTGACGATTCAAAAGTGCTTGTAAAAGAATGAAAAAAGTATAGTATTTTTTGATTTGACTTGTTGAGATTTCCTTACCAAGTAACTTATCTACTTTTTTCTTTTCAGTATGGTGCCAAAAACAATTCCCCACATTATAAAAAGAGGTCTGCATTATGAAATACACCCAGTGTCACCTTTACATGGAGTATGCCAGTAAAAAAAAGAAACATAATAAGTGTAAAAAAAGTGTATTGAAATATAAAAAATATAATATGTTAAAATAACAAATGTGTAGTTATTTTTAATAACCCACAATCCTTTTGTAAATATCTTCGGATCTCTTCTTAGCTGCTCCCCACGAATATACCCAATCATTTAAAGGATTCACTTGCAGTGTTAATGCAGAGATCGGTTTTGGACAGTTATAATGCTTCTTGTCCACTATTCTAACTTCCATGTTCCCTTTTCTCTTGTCATGGAGTTTTTTACAAATAAGGCATTCAAATTTTCCAGCTACCTCTAAAGCATCCGTTTGATACTGTCTTGTATTAAATTCATTTATCAGTCTTATGTTTGTTATTTTTCTTTTAACCTTATGAGATAAATACTCTTCATACAAAGTATCATTTTTTGTTAGCCTCTTAATATAATCGCTCATTCGCTTTGGTGTGGGATAGTCTTCTAAAAGGATAATAGATTTATTATTTGGAGACCAATCTTTTACTGATGGAGATCCGAAATATATTGGTACGCTGCCAACTTTAATTGCTCGCCAAAATTTTTCTGTAACATAATCATCACAAACACCATTTTCAATGGCCAAAACAAACTTATATCTTGCAATATATCGAAGAAAATTTTCATCATTTAAATTATTTAAGTAGTCCTCTGTAAATTTCTTGGGCATTTCTTTGTTTTTTAAACAAGCCCCATAAGAATCTATGTTAATAAACTTCATAAGTTCCTTCACATATGCATCTCTTTCCGTTGCTGTTTCACAGTCACTTTGGAGATATAATACTGGCGCAATTTCCTGAAGTAAAACATTTTTAGTTTTTGTTGGTACAAAATACTTAATACTGGTTATATCATTTAAGGATTCTAAATATTGTAATGGAAATGGAATGTCACTGTATCTGCTAAAAGTAGCAGAATAATTAAATAAATTTAATGTCACTTCATGCATTAGTTCCTCCACATTTCTAGGGGATTCTTCATGATATAAGCCCCAAATCATATCCTCTCTCCTTGGCAATGGAAGATTATCAAAATGTATATTACTTGCATAAAATAAATATGCTTCAACATTATTAACTTCATTTACCTTAATATCACTAAATAAATCACATTTAATGACATCTTGACAGTTTATAGTCTTGGAAGTTCCGGGAAATCCTGAAGTCCACCACACTATTACTGGATTATCAGAATAAATATTATGAGAATATTTATTTATTCGAATTCCTTTATTCTGACATTTCCAAATGAAAACCACTATTAAAGACACAACACTAATCCACAATATTTCATATATTGTTAGTTTTAATATTCTTTTTGGTATTATTAATAAAGTCTGTAGAACACTGTACATTTTACACTTTAAATATGTTTTTATCCCTTCCTTGTTTTGCTTTGAGCACATTCTTTAGAACTGTACATTCGCATCACAGGAAATTATTTGTTATCACAGGAACTATGATACATGACTTCATACTGCAGCTGTCATGATATAGCACTAATAGTGATAATTAATGAAACCATTTTAAGACTTTAAAGTTTGCATAAAGTATTCATTGAAAATAAAAGATAATTAACTAATTTTTAAAATTTAATGGTCAAAGTGTAAATCCTCTCTCCTTCTGCATATAATAACCATCCATACAAAAAGCTATCATTAAATCTATATAAAATAGTCCATATATGGCACCAACAACTTTACCAACAATAAAAAGATTCACAAAAGCTACAATAGTCATAATAAGTTCTATAATTATAAAGTAAAATTCAGCTTCATATTGAACTTGGTCAACTACATAAAGCACCATAATGTATATGGACAGCATAAGAGTTGGTCCAGCGACTAGACAATGCCAAACATCCACAGGCTCCACTATGTGAGGTATTATATTCAGAAGTAGTGCCACTACCTAAAAGTAAGTTTTACTCACTTGTAATACTTATAGTGGTACAATAAAAATTCTCAACTAGAATATACAATTAGATCCTAAAATAGAATAAAAAATGTATATATCCTTAACGTGATTTATTACAGTTATTATCAAGTCAGTCACTATCACCAAATAATATACATCCTCTTTCTTTAATAACATAATATTGATCAATACAAAGAGCTATTAAAAGATGGCAATAGAACAGTCCGTAAAGTGATCCAGAAGGCTCCTTGTTTAAAAGGACGATAACAAATGCAGTAATGTTTAAAATTATTTGTAATAATAGGTAAAGTTGTTCAGCCAAATTATGGACTTGATCCACTAAGTAGAGGATGATGAACATGACAGACATGACGAGTGTCGGCGCAACAGCCAGGCAATGCATAATGCCTGCATCGTTCAAAACAAATGGGATTATCATGAGGAGCATTGACATGACCTAGAAGTAAAATAGACTCTAAAATATCGTGCTGCAAAAACAATTTACCTTCACGATCAGATTTGAACTCTCATATTATATTTCTCTTAATTAATGTTTAAGCTAAAAAACAGAAAACTACAAGAAATATAATTGGTAACCTATACAAAAGTAATGTAAGTGATTTAAATGACATTATTGAGTTTAGAAAGCTAAGATATTTGAAAATGTCATTGTTATATAATTTAAATAAAATAAAGTTAATGTTATAAATAGTATAACCCTTGATAATTATATTTATTTTTGATAAATATTAACTTTAAACTTTTAAAAGTGTATAATTTATAGTTGTCACTTGGCACTTGATATTATTGTCAACTGACAACTATCAAGTGTCAACGACCAATGATAAACTTCAAATAACAAGTTTCAACGTCACATTGTTCTCTTTGAGCTAAGGCATATTGTTGAGACTAAGATAAATATATTTTATATTTAGCTGTTACGAAAAATAATAAAATATTTTACACTCATAGGAATCAACTATTTAAAAATTTATTTTATCAAAAGATAGATAGAAATTAAAATTGTCTGTAGTGATGTTTATGTAATTTCATGATAAATCGATGTAAAATCTGCAATTAATAATTATTCAGCACATAAACCTATTATTTATGATGCTTAGCAATAAAACAAAATCAAACAATATTGTCTTTCTATTTTTATTGAATGTTATTCTATCGTAATTTTTGTTTAAATAACTTACAAATGTACTCGCTAAGCACAACTAAACGTACAGCCTCTTTCATTAGCAATTAAAAATAAATCTAATGATAAAGCCGTTAATAGGGCAAAATAAAATACCCCATATATTAGCCATAACCAAACTCTTACAAGATTTAAAAGGAAACACTGAATAAATGCTCCAAAAGTAAATAGAATTTGAAAAAATAAATACATTTTTTCCATGAATAATGGTACTTTTTTCCGTAAATATAATATTATGAATAAAAAAGATATAACTAATGTCGGACCTGTTGATATGCAGTACATGTGACCTTGGGGGCTAGATATCGCCATTGGTAATAAAGTAATAACAAGGGAAAGCACCTACAAATAATAATATTAAAACCATAAATAGAAAAAATATATAAAATAATGATTGATTAAAAATACTTACAAATTCAACAAGTTTCATCATAAAAATATTATATCGAATTAATTCACTCCATTTTTTATCGACTGGAACTGAATCTGTTTGCATAGATATAACATAGATGACAAATAAAATATTATTGGTAATAAATATATATAAATAATAATGTAAATAAAAACATACCATTGATTATCATATCAGACATTGTGGTTGAATAAATATAGCTTTATAATCAGATATACAATTAATTAAATAACCATTATTAAAAATACGTAATAAAAATTACGGTATCTCTTAAAAAATGTGAAAGCAATATAAAATAAATAGCAAAATTCTGATGCAAAAGTCAGACTTTCGACAAAAAAGACTGACATAATAATTCTTCTTTTTAAAGATAACATGATGAGCCAGTTATAAAGGGCCCCATAGACGGTGCAATTATTGCAACGATCAGTCGTGCAATGTTAAAATCGAACGACGGATTGTACGTGTGTGGCAATATCGCATCCAATTTTTTAGTCGATCGATCGATCGCAGATTGCAACAGGCAACCCCGAAAATATCGTTTGCGATCTCAACATCGTTAGACATATCGCACGTGTATGGCGTGATCGGGTGCGATCATTGTCAGTCTGTCTCCAGTTTTCGCGCGAGTAACACTTGTGCTACCTATTTATTTTTCGCGATGTCGTCTACGACGTTCCAACTTCCGCCACGTCCTTGCAAGGTTTTCCTGTTGGAATTTATAGAGCTACTGCGAGAACAAGAGGTTTTATGGAAAATAAAACACTAGGACTACCATAATCTTTTTTTATTATTCTGGCAGATATTTTATGCAAGAGCTCTAAATATGTTTCCTCTTACATCCTAAGGTAGTTATGCCAATCTTTAGGATGAAAACGTAATTCCTCTAGAAGGTGGATGTGAGAATATTGATGCCTTTTCAGAGGCCATCTCTTAGTCCATTCTCTCCTAGTCTTCCTTTTCCTTATTTTTGTAAGTTTTTTTTATATAAAATGAGTGCTAATGTGCTTAAACAAAGTAGTTGCGACTCCATCGCGCTCTCGAGTACGTGCTACACGCTTTCTCTCCGTACACACAATGAGAGTCGTTCGATCACATCGTTTGTGTGTGAGCGGACGGAAATCGAAAGATGGATCGTACGATTTTCGTGATGATCGATCGAAACGACAAATTGCCCCGTCTATGGGGCCCTTAAGACGTTATTATTTTGGTCATCAAACAAAAAAAATACTAGATATACAATCAGCGACAAAAAAGTGGCTTCACCTTTTCACTTTTAATTTATTAGCGTTCGAATGCTCTGACGATAAACATGCCCCGGTACTCGTTTAAAAATTGCAAAAATCAAACCTCTGGGACATTAAAAAAGTGTGCAGTTTCATAGTTTTTGTAAATTTTAATATTACCCTTATTGCTTTTACTATATATTATATACTACTACTATATATTATATACTGATATTTTATCAAGAAATAATCGTAAAAACAGTTTTTAAATATTTTTTAAATTAAGTTGTGTTATTATACTTACACTCATTCCTTGTCACGGTGTAGCGCCGTGGCGGACCCGGAGGCGACGCCCGGTGGCGAGTCTCGGTCGTAACCTTTTTTTTTGTGAAAACAACTTTAAGCATTGCAATTAAGATTTAATTTACATGGTTGTAATCTTAGAGTATACATAAGCTACAGAGCGCGCGCTAGCAAGTATGAACTGTAAGCACGGGTATGAACAGTCTCGAAATGTTAAGGGCGACGCTATTAGTCACGAAAAGTCAATCGCGCTGACTATTTCTCTCGCCGGGATTTATTTGAATTTAGTAATCATGGGGAAATGTGCAGTTCCAATCTGTAAAAATGATTCAAGAAAGCAAACTAAAATGAACAAAGATGTTTCTTTTCATCGGTAAATAATATTTTAATTAGAAGACGCTAATTTTAACAAAATTACACAGGCGTGCGCGGGTGTTGCAGGAGGCCCGCGGGCAGGTCGACACAACAGGTGCTTCCGCGCCCCCCGCTTCTCACTTTCCCTCATTAAGAGCTAGTGTTGTACCACGTTGTACTACTCGAATATTTTGTATAACCATAGTATTATAAATTAAGATCCTTTGTGTTTGTCAAAAATAAAACCTTTAACTTTTAATGGCACCAAAGTAACTTACAATATTACTTAATTTTAATTTTAACCATTTTTATAATTTTAATCAGTTTTATATTTACATGGAATATTATTTATTTCATTTTAGCTGTTATTATTATAATTATTTAATTTTTTTTAAGAAAACTTTATTAATTAGTCATCTTATTTAGTGTTGTCATTATTATATTTATAAACATAAAAAATAGAATGAATATTCAAGCCACATTGTTGTTCTATGTGAAATTTAAAACAATTAAAATGTTAAAATTAATTAAGAATAATAATTATATAACAATTACATTACGGGATTTAAGCGCGTGAATTCACCTTTAATTTCCGTAATTTGCGTTTAAGTCTCGTAGTATAATTATGGAACGCGAAAAGTTAAACTAATATATAATTTTAATTTAGTTTACTAATATTTAAAAAAATCATAATATTAACCAACACTATTACTACATAGATTTACAAATGAAAGATATTAATTTGAAATACTGTAATTTAAAATAATAAAGTATAGACTTTAACATAACCATTTATTCAAGCACATATAGATGTGCTTGAATAAATGGTTATGTTAAATATTTTATGTTAGTATACTTCTTTTTTAATTAAATTCTAAAAGTTTTACTAGACGCATCACTATTCAACTGCTTCATCTACAAGTATGTATCAATAGGTGTGTATAGAACATCTGCTTACGTGTCGTTTTAATGGACAATGACCGATACGCGCGCTCTACAGCATATGTATACTCTAAGGAGGCTTACTATACAGAAAGACTCAATAACTAAACTTATAGTTAAAAAATAAGCGTTATTTAAAATCTCAACTATTTACGTAGTCAACTGTAATTTAGTAAATAATAACCTGTGAAACTCCTGAAATAACGTACATAGTGATTTGTTTTTTATGAAACTTTATTGATACATATTTGTTATTTTGATGCTTTTATTGTTGTTAATGCAAAATAGTATCCTACTGTAATAATTTGTGGCGCTCCTTTTAAAATTCTTCCACATGCTACTATAGCGCCACCTTAATTTGCTCCCTTTCAACAGATACTTTTTAATACCTTGAGATGGTCCTCCTTACTTGTACCCTCCATAGTCCATAGTCCATACTTGAACTGTCAATTGTCAACATAAAATATAAATGTCATAGCATCTCGTCTGGTCAGGCTAAGACCAAGTGTACCAATATTTTTAGTTAAATACGAAGCAATGATATATTAGAATCTATAAAATATATTTCAATTAAGATGGAAGAAGACGACCCGGTTGTTCAAGAGGTAATTACATCGGCTATGTGACTGACAACGTGTTTAAATTACAAGGTTATGTTTACGGCTTATAAGTAAGTTCTTTTACCCTTTATTTCTTGTTTAGATCCCGGTTTACCTTTCTCAAGCCCTCTCCGAGAATCTGTACATATATCAATATCCAGTGAGACCCGCTAATAGGGATTGGAAAGATCTAAAAGTTACTAATGCCTCAATAAAACCAAAGAACCAGCTTGTGAGGATGGAGATAGGATTGAATACCTACAGCGAAAAATATTGTTCCTCTAAAGGGGAGCAAATAGCTTTGAATACAGATGGGCCACAGGTAAAATTAAATGGCATAATTAGTATATTACTATAAAATTAATTATTATTAAGAAAAAATCATTTATTTTTATCTTAATCTAAGATTCTTGTTGTTTCATTTATTTTTTTACAATGTATTTGTGTTTTAGGAATCAAGATATATAAAAGATAAAGAAAAGGAAAGGTCACAATACTTTAGAAATGGAATTATGGATAAAATAGTTTACGAAAGCAACACCCCATGTGTTGAAACCCAACATTACGCTGTTGCTATTTTACAAGATAAAGAATTACACTGTACTCCTATTAAAGGTATAGTTTTATTTATAGTTTAAGATTTCATTAGAATTTGATGACATTTTTTCTTATTCGTTTTTATGTTTAATTTAAGTACCGTACTTTGGATTGGAACTTGTTCATAAACAGTATGAAGTAACTCAAGTAGATAACACAATAATAAGTGTATTTTATGTTATTTATGAGCTTTAAAGCTCATAAAATATTATAATTATATTTAAATAAAATGATGCAATAATCAAACCTTTTTTAGCAAGAGTTTACTTTAATTATAGGTATTATGCAACTAAGACCGTCCTATTCATATTATGACAAGCAAGATAAAAGAAAGGTAGATAAAAACAAAGCTGAGAATTCTGATGAAGAAGAAAAAGAACCTGAAGCTCAACAGGTATGTAATTTTTATTAAAATAAATAGTTATAGTTTTAATCATCCTGGTTTTTGAATGAACATTACTGCTGATAACATAATACCATATTAGTTCATATTAGGTATAGGATACTAGCATTGCCTGCGGCTCCACCCGCATTTAAATGACCGAAAACCAAATTCTTAGATTTTACATATTAGTATACTCTTCATTGTTACTTACATAGTGTTTTTGTATTTTTTCTCAGAAATGAGTAATTTTCCCATGGTAAAAAGTATCCTATATGTTGACCCAGATAACCATCACCATACTAAATTTCATCAAAATCCCTCCAGTGGTTTTTCTGTGATGCGGTAACAGACTACAATGTAAAAGTATACTAATTTGTAAAACCTAAGAATTTTTGGTCCGCCGCGGTTGGAGCCGCGGCCCGCGGGCAATGCTAGTGTTACTTTAAAATTAGATAAGAAATAATACTTCATGATTATATTTTAGATAAAGTGTGACATTTGTAATTTTATGTATATTTTGACTAATTATTTAATGCTTTAATCAACATTAACATACCCATAAGGATTCCTAGGAAACATGCCCCTCTCTTTCGTACTAAGAGGCATAGGACCAACTTAAGAAAAAGTACGCCTCTAAATAGATTAGCACGAACATACAATGTTATATCGTTAAAAAAGGGAATTGATATCTTGCATGATAGCCCCGGTAGTTTTAAAAATAAAATTTTAAGTATACTTAATTGAAATGAATGGAATGTAATGAATTTTTTATACTCTTTCTTTGTTCCTCAATTATATAAATAATTTTCATTGTATCACCCTATGTGTAATATATTAAATTCACAATTTAATCTATAGTATATTTAATTTTTAATTAATCGTTCTATTTTATTTATCATAAAAATGTATTAACTGTGTGTAATTGTATATATTTTTATTGTTCTTTTAGATGTTAATGTTGTTCTAATAGCATGTTGTAATTACCTGTAATTAAAAGTGCAATCATCATTTTCACATAGTAATGAAAAAAATTTATATGTCATTTTTATTGTAACTTTGTTGGTAATTCAAATAAATAAATAAATAAACAAATAAATAAATTCTTGAACGCTGTAAGGCTGTAATTGGCTGCACATTAACAAAATTATTATAAAAATTTAAATGTATACTAACCCAAGTTCGCAATAAAGTGTTTAATTTGATTTAATTAAATTAGCAAGTCCTTTTATATATGAAGCATCTAATTTACCTCAAAGTACAAGGGCGTCTTCCTAGTGTTTCTCTTATTACTGTGATTATACCATAATATATAACTATTTTTAAATATCTTTATATTATATTAATATTAATGTTTTTGTATTTATATTATATTAATATTTTTATTTATAAAATAATTTTAGGTGACAGTGAAATTTGCGAGAACGGAAACAGATGTAGCTAAGAAGGCTCGTGAGAAATCATACGAGTCAATATCCCAGAGGATAGCGGATGAGCCGTGGTATGACGCGTTGTGGAAACATTCAAACACTGATCATGCTGAGGTGAGTGTATAACACACCAAGTATTCTACTGACAATAGTTATGATAGCTAAAAATATTTTAAATTATACTTCTTTTAGCACGTTTGGAAAAAAATATGAGAAAATTTTATACGATGCGCGCACACACCGACAGCCAAAAAGCGACATGATGAAGTTAGCTGCATTCCTTTTACAAACAGACAGTTGTGGCATACGGGATGAAATGTTTAGCTATTTTTGTTCTGTTACGCCAAAAAAGCACAACTTCTTACGTGCGTACATAAGTACACACAGACACACGTTTTTTTAATAGTGATGCTCTTGCATTATTAATGTAAATCCTAACTACCTCGGTGGTGCAGGCTAGCATGTACGGTCGCAGATCCGTGAGATCCCGGGTTCGAGTCCCGGGTCGGGCTAAGTCCAGTGATTGAGTATTTCTGTCAAAAAATTCTCAGTAATAGACCGGAATTGGGAAGTGCTTCGGAGAGCACAAAAAGCAGTCTGTTCTGCGCCTTTACTCTCACTGGTCGTGACGAAGTATCATAAGTCCCATCGGACTTTGATAGTGAAAGGAATAGAGAGTGCACCTTGTGTCTGGGTCTACACGCGCTGTACTATAATATCTTCTGCATATCAGGCTAGTCTCAGTTGGATTGGTTCAGTCCGTTACAATGTAAATCCTCTTAGATTTACAGTGGCTCCATAATGGATCTTAGAACATTTTAATCTAATTGTCTTTATCATATAATTTTGTGTTTGTAGTACAGGTGAGAATTCAAAAATTTCATGCTATCGATTCATTAGAGTTGTTTGTAAGTATAATTTATATATTTGTATTTTTTTATTCTCAGTTGGAACGTATGAAGCTATTTAGTGCGACGACAATGGATGGTTCGTCTTTGACATTGGGACCGGAGGAATATGTCAGTGCTCTAGTGCCACCGCCTACGGATGAAGCTGAAGTTACTCCTATCGTAAAGCTATCCCTTCAAGACCAGATAAGGGAGATACTTATTAATGGTAAGTTTTTGATAGTATATTTTTATAGCAGTAATAATAAACAGGAGATTATATGAAAAATTGTTGTGAATTTGCATCTAAAATATAAATATATACCAATATTGTAACTAAATATAAGTACATACACTAATCTAGCAAATTACTTTTATAATAATAAAAAAATCTAATATGTTAAGACAGAAAAATGCATTTTCTTCAGATTTTATAAGTAAGAAAATGTTGATGTTCAAAGGTAAGACTTTTTTTCGCATTTACGCATACGATGTGCCAACATGGAACAAAAACATACCTAGTTGCGGAATTTCAATACAATCGGAAGATGTGTGCGTGTGCATGTGTGTGTGTGTGTACATACGTAGTACGTACATTGATGGTACATTGAAGCTGTGTCCGTGTTGTACAGCAAAGCTGCTGACGTTCAGCGAGCTACGCGCGCTGTGCGGCGCAGAGGAGGGCGCGCTACTGAGCGCGCTGGGCGGCGCGGCGTGCTGCGCGCGCGGGCTGTGGGCGCCGCGCTCGCCGCAGCTGTACGCGCGCGCCGCGCCGCCGCGCCGCCGCCTGCTTTGCGCCGCCAGGGACCACGTCGTGAGTGCAAGCCTTTATTTTATGCTAATTCAAATGCAATATGCATATGCGTAATTTTTTTTTTTAATTTAATTTTTAATTCAATAAATAACATTGTTATATAATTGTAAAAAAATATCCAGCTCTAAGAAACTAAAATTTAGTATAAAAAAGAATTTTAAAAATATCATACCGATACGGATACTTTAATCGCCCGCCATTTCGCGCACTTGGCGTGACGTCACAGTATGATATACACAAAAAAAATGATGACTCAATTTGTAGCAACAAAATCGCTATCGCTCTGTTACGATAATACCTTGACGTCATATTTGGTCTGACCAATGGCGTGTGTTTCAATTACTTTGAATTTCCCACCTATATTTGCAATTTTTAATAATTATTTTCTTAATTAAAAAGAAATTTATTAAAAAATATTGATATAGGCTTAGTTCAAAAGCATTAAAGATTATTAAAAAAAATATTTTACCTTTATTTTAATCACACGCATATTTCCTATTGTGATTTTTTTTCTCCTTTTCTAAGTAAAATTATAAATTTTATAAATTCTCCAACGTTAAATACATCCTCCTACATTTCATTATATTTTCATTTTCAGATCATTTTTACCACAAAATAATAGTACCCATGTTTACCCAAAAACTGACCATCAATATGATAATATAAGCATCTCTAGATTCCCTTTGCATTTATAACATTACAAAAATTCTTACAAAAGTTTTTTTCAACTTGATTCATAAATATCCATCAAACCATTTCGCAAGATGTTCATGAAAATATAGCCTTTGACCTTTCTAAGTAACTACTCTTTCTATTGGTGAAACTGTAAAAAACCAATCATTGTTTCTGAATTTAGCCTGAACAAACAAACTAGAAGGGGACTTTAAGTATTATATACTAGATTTAGAATCTATCAAGATTTAGTTCTTTTATACTACCATGTCTATCATAAAAAAATAGTATAAAATTAAAGTAAAATGTTTTACCTTCCAGTTATACCTCTTCACCCAACACTCATATGTGGACAGACGAAAAATAACAGCGGCCGTTCGTCTTCCGCCGGAGGAAGTATTAGAAATACTGGAATCCGTAGCAAAATTTAATCCAAGCCACGGCTGGGAGCTTCTCTTACCACCAGACACAGCGTTCGAAGCGAAATATCCAGATGTCATACAAAGACAAAATCTCTACTGGGAAGCAAGACAGCGACAGTTTAACGAAATGTTAATAGGTGAAAGTGTGCCCAAGCGGCAAAGGAAGAAATCTCAAAGGGATTCTATTAGTTCGGACACAATGCTAAGTCCTAAGCCGCGTCATAACAGTGTTAGTGTCAGTGATGAAGACAGTGGGAAGCGTAAGAACAAAGGTGTGGGAGGGAAAAGGACTAGAAATGTTAGTTCCAGCGGTCAGGATGCAACATGACTGGTCAGGTTAGTTAGGTTATCAAATTGTACACTGTTCCAATTTTCAAATGTTTAAGTAGTTACATTGTTGTAATGGACTCGACTGAAAGTACTATCTAGCTGTCTTATTGTGACGTTATGTGAGCGAGACAAAACGATATGGACTATTGCTGTCTTTTTCTATATGAAAGGTACAGGCAAGGACAAGGGAATGTCCTAATGAATAGATTATGAGAAAAGAGTTAAAGTTTAGAAGTTATAGTATTTTTATTGAGATCAAAGTATGCAGTAATTTTAAACTCTGTACTTTTTTGGCCAATCCTCCTTTTTACCGGTATGTACTTTTTCTTTTTGCTTTGGACATAGATAAAAACGTATTATTAGCGTATATATCCGTTGAGTATTTGTAAAAACCAGTAGTTGGGAATAAATAAATAAATATTTTGGGGCATTTAAATACATACATATTATGAATATAAACACCCATGACTGGAGTACAACAGACATACATGGATGCCTTTTTTAAAGCATTTTTATGTTTTGTTGTTATTTTATTTGAGATGTACAATTTCAGAATCAAGAGATTTTGCAAACAAAAAAGAAAAGCTGAACAAAACTATGGGGTCGGGTGTTCTTTAAGAGTCCACCCAATCGACATAGATACGTTATCAGTAAACAAAAAAACAATTATGACTTTCCCTGTTCTTTACCTGTACCCTTCGTCATGATTGGTCTGTACATGATTGTTTATTGTAGTTGTATAGAAAGATTTGGTTGCTTTATCTTTTGTCTCTTTCTACATAATTGTCAATTATGTGAAACTAACCTATTTATTTATGTTTATTGGGTGATTATGAATGATTTTGTCATATTTTTTTTTATAATGAAATGTTCTTTTCATTTAAAAAGAAAGTGTGGCCATTTTTTAAATCAATATGTCTAGGCTTTTCTACTTCTATATAGATTTTTTTATAAAATTTAATATAAAATGTATACATCATTCATAATCGCCCCACAAAATCGTATCTGTTATAATATTGTTTAAATGTTATTTAATTGCCATACATTTTAAACTCAATAAAATTTAGATCAAATACTATTTTTTTATATTACAATAATCTCCTAAGTGCTACTTCATTTAGGTATAATATTTGAAATACATAGTTTTCTTAATTATGATACGATATTGAAACTCCATTTTCTTTTAAACTAATAATTTATTATATCAGGTAATTAACATCTTGAAGTCGACAATGGCCTACATATTTAAAGGATTTGATAGTAAAGTAAAAACTACATTATAGGTATGTTTAGTAAATAAAATAGTGATAATATAAATTGTCATGTTATCAGTTCCTTAAATTTATATTTTTTTAACGTCTCTCTGCTGGTCTCAGGCCTCCCTTTAATAAGAGGGGAATCAGGCCATAGTCCACCACGCCAAGTCAAGTGCGTGTTTGCGGACTGCACATGTCTTTCGAAAACTTGCTAGGTTCTCTCAGACATGCAGGTTTCATCACGATGTTTTTCTTCTCCGTAAGACAAGTGGTAATCATGTTGGAAATGATTCGCACATGAAAATATCAGAGCGAGACACGCTTCACTCGGTTTCCGTAGCGAGCGAGTTACCACTGGACTACCACTTGCTTCTTTAACTTTTTGGTATTATAACAATTAGTGACCAGAAATGTTTGCAACATATTTCTTTGATGTGAAACATCTATTGGCGCGCCTTGGCAGTAAAACCGACACGTGTACCGTGACGGCAAACGGCATGATGTTCACTGCTTCTACCTCACCGCTCTCGCCTCCCTTGCTTGTGCGCGCGCGTATACTATACACGTTCTACTGTAAAACAGTCTAAAAAACTTACATATCTTCTATTCGATTTATGAATTATATATTATTCTGTAATCATTATTATAATTAACATAATAAGAAAAATAAATTGATTTTATTATCGAAACTATTTTTTTCTTTATTTTACTCTATATTTCGTTATAGGTTTTTATTGATTATTATCGAATACCTTTAAACGAGCAATTCTTGTATATTTATATATACTGGTGATCTCGGAAACGGCTCTAACGATTTCGCAGAAATTTGGTATGTGGGAGTTGGTATTCGAGGGCGAAAAATCGTTCGTGCATAAGCATCGTGATCAAGCGGCCAAAGCGCAAGATTGACAATTACAGGTGTCCGGGTTTAAATCCCGGTCGGATACAAAGTTTACACCTTTTTTTTGTATTTATTCAAGTTTTTAGTTTTTCTTTCTTTTTAAGCCAAATTAAAAAGAAAATTGTACTTTTAGCCGAAAACTAGATTATTATCTAAAAAATACAATACAATAAAAAAGAACTCCGAGCGAAGCTCGGTCGCCTAAGTACTGAATTCTAATATTAACTAACATAGATGTTTCACATCTGTCCGGCGTCCCGTGACGGTCAACCTTTTTTTTCAATATCAGAACTTCCAAAACACAAGAAAGGGGAGGAAAATATTCGAATATTAGCCATGTTTCTTTCTCAGCACAGGAAATAAACAGGTTTTGCTATCTAACAGGTATAATTTCTTGCCTAGTTAGTATTGTAAACATAGTAAAAATAAATAATTAAAAAAATATGCAAATTCGTACTATACCAACTGTAATAATTATATATTTTTATATGGTACTAGGACTGATTTTGTAATAAAAAAATGTATATAGAATATAGAAGTAACATTTTTAAGGGTCATTTGGATAAAAAAGAATATTTTAAATATTCTTGTTAAGTAAAATTTGAACTACAATTTTTAGTGTCTTTCCACAGAAATAATAGGTGAAATCTTTTAAAGATAAGATTAAGTAAATCAATTGTAAGTGGAATTATATACCACATTAGTTTAAGTAGTAAGCAATTGCCAGCCTAAAAGGCGGGAATAAATGAGTTGAAGGCTTCCACTGTAAAAGCATTTTCCTAATATTGCTGTTTTTTCTTTATAAAAATAATATTAGAATGTGTCAGAAATTATATTTTGGCTTCTAACTTTTAACCAATTCGCATATTTGATTAGAAATAAACATTTGTATTGTGATATTTCTTGTTCTGTTTTAATATTACACCTCCAGGTAAATTTCTAAGAAATTAATTAAAATTCTAAGAAATCTACTGTTAACTGACATGCCTTCATCAATCATCAATCAACTTTTAAAAGTTCATACATTTTACTGTTTTTTTTTAATTTTTTTAAGTAACACTAGATAGAAGCGAAAGTGATGTATTTAATCTGGAATAATGTCAAGCTGGAGGTTAAGTAAAAATAATGTAAAAATAATATGTATCATGTTATTTTTTGTTTACAATTCATGTTTAACTCTGTAATAACATTCAGAACTACATTATAGTATACAACTAACTATTGGAAGTATTCTCTTGTATATAATGTATATTTCTGACGGTTTTATATTCAATGTGAATCTGTTTATAAATGTTGTTTTTAATTAAGAAAATAAATATGAAATTGGCTTTTCTCTATGGTTTTAAAACCTTTAACATTGATTAATCAATGTAACCTTATTTAAGAACATCCCTGATTTTTTTTTAACAAAACTACCCAAATATATTGTGTGATGACCAAAATAACTTAATAATACCACAGATTACATAATACTATACTTGTACAGATGTACTGATGCCCCATCCCATATAAAGAAATTGGACAGCGTTAATTCGGGCTATTTTTGTTTGCTTGTATAAATAGATAATGGATATCGTTAAGTCGCAAATTTTTCGTAAAGTAAAATGTGATAAATATTGCAAAATTTATCTGGAATTTAATTAAATAAATTTCAGTGAATTTAATATTTTTATTCATAAAAAGTAAAAACGACTTTTTTAATAATTTGCAAATTTACGCAAATTTGATTCTCGAGCGGAATATTTCATTTTCATTTACTTTATTTAAAAAATTATAAAGTCGCTATTATTAAAAGTGAAAAAAAAGATTCACAGGAACAGAGAATCTCCTCCTTTTTTGGGAAGTCGGTTGAAAATAAAAAAAACCATTTCATAACATCGATTTATTTATAACATGATTTGGTGCTACAACTACACTAAAATAGTGCGAATAGTCTAAACGACTGAACAGTTAAAGCGAAATATTATTTAATATGCACCATTTATATAGGACATAGTTATCTTATTTTAACACAATATATAAATAAAAAAACTTCTGAAAAACAATACTGAAAATCATAAATAACATAAAAATATATAATAAAATAAAAAATAACACGAAACAGTAAGTACTCTGTAGACTGACTTAATTATTACAAACATTTTCTATTGAATTGTGATTTGTGTGTAAGTAAAAATTAAAATTAATTTAAAAAATCACAACATCCATAGAACTTTATTTTAATTGAAACAAATGTTAAACATTAAGAGTCTACATATAATAATATTAATAATACACTAATGACTATTTAAAGATCTTAAAATTAAAGAAAGAATAATGGTTTGTACAAGTTAATAATATAACAGTATTTACTTATTAAAATGAAATAAAAAAAATGAAGATAAAAAATACAACAATTAATAAATTAGTTCTTCAGTAAATATCAGTTATAAACAAAATGCTGACAAACATTTGAATTATGAGATAATGTTTTAAAAAAACATGTGCGTGTACTTATGTACGCACGTAAGAAGTTATACTTATTTAATATTTAGCGTAACAGAATAAAAATAGCTAAATATTTCATTCCGTATGTCACAACTCTCTCTTTGTAAAAGGAATGCAGCTAACTTCATCATGTCATTTTTAGTCTGTCGGTGTGCGCGCGCATTGTAAAAATTTTACTGTCACATTTTTTCCAAACGTGCCAAAAGAAGTATAACTTCAAAAATATGATGTGCTACAAGACAAGTGATTAATTATTATAGAACATGTTAATACTTAATAACTATTCTAATAACTGTATACAATGTCTATATTTAAACAAGATCATTTCAAAAGAAGCTATATAATAGTAAACGTGTCAGAATTTTGAAAATGCATATGAAAAGTTGTTTTATAATAAAATCTATATAAAGCTTTTTTTTTAATCTATGAGCTCCATTTTGCACTATTCAGCAATATATGAATGTCACGTGTATTCATGTATATTTGCTTGAAATTAAATTGAATACAAGAAGTGTTTACATTGTTTACCAATAATTTTTATTTTATTATAAATTAAATTATTTTTTATTGTAATAAATACAAAGTTGTCACAATATTATGCTATATTTTGCAAATTCACAGCAAAGAAAATACAGATTCACAAAACAAACAAATATTTAAAACAATTTAAAAATAAAAAGCAAAAGTAAAGTAAAACCAATGCCACTAATTTTATTTGCGGAGTTACAGAAATCCAAATTACAATTATCTGCAATTAAGCCGTATCGATTTTTAACAAAAGTGTAGTTGCAAAGTCCGACTTTGCATTCGTCTAGATTTAAAGGACGTTCGTTCTCCAAAAACAGGACCTGGTATGGATCGTCGATTCGGAAGTTGTTGTCGGGTTTGCATCTGTGAATCATTAGAAAGAATATTAAAACACTATACAATTACACCTATGAACAATGTACATGAATAACAATTTTAATAGGTACAACACAGTCTATTAAAAATATATTTATTTAAAACAACTTTATCTTTACACAAACACTTATTGTTAGGAATAGGCAAAAAAGATACATTTAAAGTGCGTGAAAGGTCTACAAGTATGAAATGCGGATTTCTTTTTCTAAAAAAGCATGATTATTTTGAAATGTTTATAAAAAGTGCTTTATTCAAAGTATATTCCATCGCTTGTTAAACATTTTTCCCATCTTTTGGGCAATTTGTGAATACCACGCCAGTAAAAATCTTCCTCTTTTTTTGCGAGCCATTCATCGAGCCATTTTTTCACATCTTCGTACGAACCAAAGCGCTGCTCAGCAAGTGAGTGACCCATCGATACAAACAAGTGGTAATCAGTTGGAGCCAAGTTTGGTGAGTAAGCCGCATGTGGTAGAACTTCCCAGTTGAGGGCTTCCAACGTTTCGCGAACCGGTTTTGCCGTACGTGATGGGGCATTGTCATGAAGAAAAATGACTTTGTGTTGCCTATTTCTGTATTCTGGCCTTTTTTCAAGCAGCAAACGGTTCAAATTCGTCAATTGTAGTTGATAACGTTTGGTATTAACCGTTTCCCCGGGTTTTAACAGCTCATAATAAACCAGGCCTCTCTGGTCCCACCAAACACAGAGCATCAACTTTCTGCCAAAGCGATTCGGTCTTACGGTCGATGTGGATGGTGCGCCTGGGTCTACCCATGACTTTTTGCGCTTTGGATTCTCAAAATAAATCCATTTTTCATCTCCTGTAACTATGTGATGCAAAAACGACTTTCTTTTGTACCGAACAAGCAAAATTTCACATGTGTTTTTACGCTTTTCCATTTGCCTATCAGTCAACTCATGTGGTACCCATCTACCAGTCTTCTCAATCTTTCCCGTCTCTCGTAGCCGATTGGAAACAGCTTGTTGACTAACGCCCCATTGATTGGCGAGTTGATTTTGTGTTTACGAATCATCTTCGTCCAACAATGCTTGCAATTTCATATCTCCATATTTTTTGATGGGTTTCCATGTTCCTTGTCTGCAAAATCGAAGTCACCACTTTTGAAACGCCGAAACCAACGTTCACACGTATCTTGCGATACAGCATGTTCACTATAAGTTTCTCGAAGTAATCGGTATGATTCAGCAGCAGTTTTCTTCAAATGATAACAAAAAATTAATGCTGTCCGCAAATGCTCTTTGTTCGGTATAAATTTCGACATATTGAAGACAACAACACAACACTTTACACACACTTTTTCAATTTATTAGTCAAGCGCATGTGACCCTTGTTTATAACACAACAAAATGACGCAGTATCAAATCTTAATAGAACAAGCTTCATTGATGCACCGTCACTTTTCTGAAATCCGCATTTCATACTTGTACTGGTATGTATTTATATCGTGTATATACGACGGCGGAGTGGTAGTTGTCGCGTATTGCGCTTACGAATAAATAATAAGTCAGGAAGTCTAATTCTTACAAAAAGTGGCCCCACTTGAAACCAAAACGACGTATGTAAATTACGAATCACTTCTGAGGTTACAAACAGATGTGGTGATTAACTCGGTTATAGAGTGTGTGAGATCGGCTAACACTTACTTGTACAAAACAGCAGCCAAGTTGGCATTGAAGGGTGTGATGGTGGAGGTGGTCCAGGCGCGCGCCTGCACGGCGGCGGAGTGGTAGTTGTCGGCGGTGAGCGTGGCGCGGTCGCGGCGCGCGCGCAGCGCCGCCAGCGCCAGCAGCAGCGCCGGCGCCGGCGCCGCGTGCACCAGCGCGCGCGGCTGCTGCGGCGTCACTGCCGAGTTTAAATAAATAAATAGGTATATTATGACATTAACACAGCACCGTCTAGTTCCATGGTAAGCTACGAGGCTTGTGTTATGGATACCGGATAGTTGATATACTACACATTTATATAACACTAGCGACTCCACTTCGGTTAGCTCGGATTCGTCAATAGCTTGATTCTCAATACAAACTTTCATCCCCTTAAGGGATGATTTCCGGGAGAAAAAATATCCTATGTCCTTCCCAGGGTCTCAAACTATCTTCTTACTAATTTTCAGCTAAGTCAGTTCATGTAAGTTCAGTTACAGTAAGTAAAAATTATCGATTTCTCCAATTTTTTAAAATTTTTAAGGGTGTTTTTACACGATGACCATACAAAGTTTTTATATTTTCAAAAAGTTGAGTTCAAGACGAAATGAACGATTTTTTTTAAACGTAAACATCCACTTGGAGTTAGGGGTGATTTTCATCCTCTCGAGACCATAAAACATACATACTTTTCTCGGAAATGGCTAAACATTCCATTTCATTTTTTTTTCATTTATTATATGTATTTTGAAGACTACATTCCCTTAATTTCATGAAAATCAAAAGATTATTCTCGAAATAAAAAATAAAAAACCAAGAAACAGTTAAAAACCGAGTTTTTTGCAAATATCTCGAAAACTTTGAGGTTATTGTAAAAAGTGTTATTTATAAAAGTTGTAGACTTTTACTTTTGTGGAAAACATTTTACGATAGAACGTCACATTACTGTACTGTGGCTTACGCCGGTAATTGAAAAAAACTATTTTTCAAACGCTTTGCGTCCCCCATTTATCAGGGGTAGCTGGGCACGTGGGGCATTTTACCTTTGCCTTACATACCTGCTAACATTTTAAAATCATAAAACTTCAGGTTTTCAATATTTTGTTCCCAAACCGGATTCCGATTGGACTATTATTGAAATAGACATTATACTATTCCATACTAACCGTTAAAACGTACCTAGTGACAAACCCAGGCGAAGCCATGGTAAATCGCAAGTTATAATATAAAATTAATTAAAATTCAAATCTCACTGTGTCCCTCGTGTATTTTGAAGAAGTCCATCATCTCCTTGACCGCGGTGCAGGCGATTTGTTGGTTCATCGGCGTCCCGTAGCCGTACTTGTAATACATCTCTAAGTCCTCAGCATACTCCAGACGTTTTAAATCTTCTTTGGAAAATACCTAGAAATAAATTTTTTGAATAGAAATGATCATTCAATGAAGTATATTTATTAAATGTTCATCATCAATAAAAAAAAAACTAGATACACAATCCCATACAAAAGTTCTCTTAAAACAGTCAACAATTGTGTTTAAGTATTGTAGTTGAAATAAATATACAACAATGTAAATTTAACCTTAAGAGGATTGTGAACCTGTAAATTTTCATACAAAAAGCGATAACGTTTTTCCCCCCTTAAACATAGTCTAATTTTCATAATTTTTGGAAATGTTGTAGATATAATCAAAATCTAGGTCCGTACGTTTTTATTTTTTTGAAATATTGCTTACGACAGAAGTTATTAGCATCTAAATATCTATATTTTTGACCTAAAAACTTCCTCCAGCGTTTTTATTTTTTTAAATTAAACTAAACTGAATTACAAAAAAAGGAAAACGTACAGACCTAGATTAAGGTGTACTGAATCTAATGAGACCAAAATCGTCTCATTTCGTTAATGTTTAGGGGGGTGAAAACGTTATCGCCCGAAACAATATTTCAAAAAGGAAATGTAGGTAATTGAGTCTAAGACTTGCAACTCTCTCTATCGCACCATACGGGTCGGGGGCAGGGGCATATTTTAGACTGTAGTGATGTTGAAGGTGCTATCGATATTATTATCTCCTAGGGAGGAGAAGGTAATATCGATATATCGATCGATACTGAAAGGATTCAATCCAAAGTTTAGAATTTTATTATACTCGTAAGATTGTAACTAAGCCGTATCTGTACATTAAATATTTTTTGGAAAATATTATTGAAATAAACATTATTATCGATACAGAGGCCGAATCTATAGTTTTTTGAATTTTTGTCTGTCTGTCTGTATGTCTGTCTGTCTGTTACCACGTCACAGAAAAACCACTGGAGGGATTTTGATGAAATTTGGTATGGTGGTAGCTGGTTATCCGGATCAACATATTATAGCATTACCGCGGGAAAATATCTCATTTCTGAGAAAAAATACAAAACTGAAAATATATATATATATATATATATATATATATATATATATAAATATATATATATATATATATATATAAATATATATATATATATATATATATATATACAGGGTCATTTTTAATTTACTGAAGACCTTTTGGGAATATACTATTAACATCATAACAACAACCTCTGTAACAAGAAAAAAAATATTTCTTAAATTTTCAGTTTCATACAAAAATAAAAATATTTTCTATATCATCATCATCATTATATCTGGCCAAGTTTGAATGAGTAAGGACCACTTCCTACACCCCTCCACCCCACGCCCACCACCCCACGCCCACCACCGGTCACGCGCTTTCTTTTGCTAATTGCTGGACTATTACCGTTTAGAAGGAGCAATAAAAATACTTTTATTTTTGTAAAATTTATATTTTTAATTCTATATTCGTTATAATTTATAAAATTCGTTATAATTTTATGAAAATTATTACGAATAGTATGTGTATAATTATATATATATACACATACTATTCGTTATAATTTTTTCGAAATTATCGATATTTTATTAGTTTTTGGAGTTAATTTTATTGATTTTTCTGAAAAAAAAATGATTTTAGGGCAATTACAGAAAGAAATGAAAATCATTCGTAATCTAATCTTGTTTATTCATTAGTTAAAAATATATTTTAAAAAATTAAGTTGATATATTTTATAAAATTTAGTCATAGATATGTTAAAAAATCGTAAATCATCATCATTCATGATCAGGTCATTTTATGAATTTCTATTCCTTATATACCTGCTAACATTATAAAATCATAAAACTTCAGGTTTTTTAATAAAATAATTATTTTAACAATAAAAGGATTCCGATGGGTCTATTAGTACCTACATAAACAACAAAAAATTCTATAACTTTCAACTTTTGGAACAAGATTTTTGTAATTGATCTAAACCACCTATTTATTTTTTTATGATTTTTTGAAGTCATCAATCTAAACAAGTCAAATTTTAAATGATATTCGCCACAGAATTGTAATTTAGAGTTATTTCAGTTTATGAATAAAGGTGCGATGTAACTTGTAGGGAATGTATATTGTACGCAAACCGTAGATATTAGATAAACTTTGAAATTGCTCTTGCGCCGAGTCGCGCCGCCCCCGCCCCCGCCCCCCGCAAGCGCCCGCGCGTCACCGGCTGCTGCTATCATAGTGTGTGTGAGAATTTGCGTATGTTGTATTTGTGTTGTTCACTGCCGGGGGGATGCAAAGCGGTATGAAACAGATAGCATTTTTAAAAATACCTACTCTCGCCGCGTATCGGCACTTCACAATCCTCTTAATAGCAATGTTTAAGGTTGTTTTCACAAAAATTATTGAAAGCGCGCTCAAATGTTCAAACGAGTGCTCATTCGGTGAGGACATTTTTTGAGTGATGATGTTCATGTATTATTTTAGGTATTTTAAATACCATATATTATTTTTTATTTTAAGTATTTTCAATTACGTCTTTTTTATTTTATAATTGTGACTTATTTTACGAGAGTATTTCTTTATTTAAAAAAAATAATAATACCTAACTGCAAATAACTTTTTTATAAACTAGCTGCCCTGAACCGGGAATCGAACCAAATAAAAATGCCCAAAAATACACCGTCACTATTTTATTGAATTAATAGATAAGATAGGCTATGGTCAGGGTCAAATCTCTCGAACAAACATTGCATTTTAGAATTACAGAAAACGATGAAATCTTACAAATTATACTTACATATCGACTCTAACGTCGTGGAACAAACGTACAGGACATGGAAGAAAAGTGTCTAAAATACTGAAAATATAAATGCAGCTTATTATAATTTTTAAAAATAAAGAAATCTTTCCTTTGAGTAGAACTTGATAACTTCTATTTTTAAGTTACTTTTCTTCAATGTCCCAACCATTTGTTCATATATATTATACACAAACACACATACTTCCGCACTTTCAAAGTAGTACGAGTTTAATATGATTTTATAGTTTGGATTCTACTTACAGCACACCAGGGCGATATTTGCGTGACATCCCACGCTTTGTTGTACCGGCACATGTCGTACATGTAGTGCACCATCTCCGTCTGTATGTCGTAATTAAAGCCGAGACGTTTGGAAATGTTGGTTATCATCTGAAAACATGGTTTTAAATTGAACATTTGTTAGATTTGTTAGCTGTATCGCAAAAGTAGAGGGAGTTACGAGTAACAAGCCCCATATAAGACAGTAAAAAGTGAAAACCAACGCATCGCCCTCTTCTCTGGATAAATGGCACGCGCTCGTAGACTCGGAAACATCTATTTAGAACACGGTATTCCAAAATTGCACTAGTCTGATTCTATTAGAATTAATAATTTCTTTTGTATAAATTTATTTCATTTTTGTACAAATTATAAAACATTGATATTTATATATTAATGTAACTGTAAGTTGTGAGTGTAGTATTTGGAATGATTTTTTTTTTCAATTTATGTACATATGTATTAGCGACTTTCCAAAAAATATTTCGTGTACAGATTCGACTTATATTTGATTATATGTATAGATTATGAAATAAATAGAATCGTAGAATGGGATATAACCATAACTAAAATTATGCTTAATCTAAAATATAAAATTATTTCTTACCTCTTTGTATTCTAGTTTAGATTCAAAGATTCGTAGCTGAGTGAGTGTTTCGTTGTTCTCCAATACATTGTTTATCCACGACGAACAGAACTTGTAAGGCTAGAATAAAATATTAATTTATTTTAATTTCTTGCTATTATTTTGCCTTCTTGACTTTGTGGTTTAGTAGCTAGCATGTACGGCTATGGCTACAGATTCGGAGGCTCTGGGTTCAAGTCCCCGGTGAGGCCAAGTTTTTCTTATTAAGTCCTTTTGTTTAGAAAGCCTCAGTAACAGCCCGGAGTTGAGAATCGTTTCAGCACCCTGCCTACTTAGAGCCGTTTCGCGTTAGTCCTAAGCCTAGTCTCCCACTGGTCGTGCCGAATTGTCATCCCACAGACGTATGACGAAATATTTTTCAGTTTGTAGTGACCCTATTTGCTGTGCCAGCGGCCGCAGGTTCGAGTCGCGCTGCGGGCATTAATTTAAGTATGTGATGAGCACGAATGTTTGTACTCTAGTCAAGGGTGTTGATATTTATAATATGTATGTATTTAAAGTTAGAATTTGTAGTATATGAACTATCTGGTATCCATAACACAGGCCTCGTAGCTTACCATGGAACTAGATGGTGCTGTGTGTTAATGCCCCAAAATATTTATGAGAGTGACAAGAATAGACAGTGCGAATACACATGGTGTCACATGCAGAATTATAATATCTATCCTGCACAGTTGGTTAGCCTCAGTGAGATTGACCGCTGTGTTCGAAATAACTATTTCAGCTAACTTAGTTCATTAAAATTTCTTATATAGTAGCTACAGACACGTCACTATGTATTTATCAGATTGCTAACTTACAAAGGACGGGACCCCAATAACCTATCTCTATAATATTTCTTACTTGGAATTTGATTATTGAGATTCGTTTATTAAATATTTTACATTCCGATTTTGAGTTCTATATATAAACCTGAAAAAGAGAGAAAACTTTTTCTAAACCTTTTCTTTTTATTAAGCTTTCCCCGAATTTCCCAATTTTCCAGGAAACTTTTTTTCCAACCATTTTGCAAACCATTTTCTTTCTTAAAACCTTATTCAGACTGTTAACAATAAAGCTTATACTAAATTCTGTTTTCCGTTATTAACTTACTAATTTCTTATTTTTATTTACATTTAAGTGAACAACAAACAGTACCCGTTTTAGTTTGTTTTTATTTATAAAGAATATAAAATTTATACGTTATGCAGAAATCTAATTTAGTAATTTATATCGTAAATAAACTATCATTACTTAAATTATGTTAAAATTTTAATTAAATGCACTCACTTGAAGTAATTTCTCATCACTCTCCTTCGATATGCCGACGGGGTCTTCCTGCGCGCGGAATAAACCCTCTGTGAAGGCGCGGAACGTTGTTTTGGAGCGTTGATCGTTTGCGTATTTGAACTGAAACAGATTTTTATAATTCAAATCATTCAAAATATTTTATACACCCTTAAATTATTACAGTTTTTTACTGCATGTCATGAATTTAACACCAGTTTGGAAAAAAGCCTCAGACGTGAAAAGAACTGGCGAAAGAAACTCAGCGGGACTAAAAAAATTTTTTTTTTGTCTTTTTTGTAGTTAAATTAGGTATTATACAAATTCCCCCCCAACGTGCGTTTACCTTGTCGTGGTGGGGGGGCTCAGTAGTGCCCGACAATACAGCCGGGCGCGAAGCTAAGAAACGCACAGGAAGGTTGCCCACTTCGGTGGGCGGTGGGAGGTGGCCCTCTTCGGGGGGCGGTGTACCATGCGGGTTGCTCCTGGTACTTCTCTGATAGCAGAGTGGACTGTGGAGCAACCCCATGGTTGTGGTGGTCTGCTTCGGCAGACCTGCCGTCGGGGCGTCGTAGTTGAATGCGTAAGCGATCCTGCGACGCCCCATTACGACGGGGGAAGGTGTTGTTGGGTTTTAGTGGGTAGTACTGGCTGTATTACGCCGGTGAGTCCCACACGTCGTGCGTAAATGCATTTCCCAACGTTAAAAAAAAAAGGTATTATACAAATACAAATATAATAAATAAAAATATTTTGTTATGGAATTATTTTATACCAGTGACTTAAGTAGATGTAAGAAGAAATAGCACAACAGACGGCCCTATGTGCGATCTCTTCCATTCAACTTTCAGGCAGAGAGAAAAAAAAATCGTATTACTTTTACATGTATACTAATATCTTTATATATAAAAGTTTTCGTTTTCGTAATTCTTCTCCTTATAAACAGCTTGAGTGATTTTAATGATTTTTTGTGTAGGACGTAGGTACTTTTCATGGGGTCAATTAAGAAGGTTCGTAGCTATTGTTAGCACCCGGTAATTGCTATATTCGCTATAATCTTTCACATTAATTACCTTCTTTTATTCAGACTCTGACGTTTTTAATAAATTATCTTCGTTGTACCTAAAGCTTATTTAAAAAAATATGTAGTAAAAATACTTATGAGCCGTATTAAGCTCCTTTTACTTATTTCATATAATAAGGAATCATAACTAATTATGAACTATAAATGAAAAATATATTATAATTAATAAACTTACCATGTAGTCGTGAACATTATCAGTTAAAAGTCCAGGGAACTTCTGTTTCCACGCTTGAGCTAGTTGCTGAGTAGACATATATCCATCGCTTGTTAGATCTCCTGCAAACGTGATGTTCTGGCGAGGGTTCCACTGCCAACGCTCTAAGAGGTTCACATCCGCCGGACACATACGGAGCTAATGATGAAAAGAGTAATTTAAAAAATTAAACCGGTTTCGTTTTATAAGTAAACATTCAAATGAAAAGATGCAATATAATCAATTTTATAATAATACTAGTTGACCCAACAGATGTTGTCTTGTCCCAATTTCAGTATATTTAATTAAATCCCTCCACGACCGCGGACACGCTGGCGTGTCAGTTAACAATAGATTTCTTAGAATTTTAATTAATTTCTTAGAAATTTACCTGTTAAAAAAATTATATAAATCATAAGAGCTTTTCTCAAATTTCTCAAAATAGGAGAAATTTTCAATTTTTTTTTCTTTAAAAAACTTAGACCTTGGTCTATTACTATTATGAAATAATTAGTCAATTTCAGCAATCCGCAAATGATGCCCTCATCCAACGAGCAGCATTTGTATTTTTATTATACAACTAGCATTGCCCGCGGCTCCGCCCGCGTTCAGATGACCAAAAACTAAATTCTTAGGTGTTACATATTAGTATACTCTTACATTGCAGTTTTTGTATTTTTCCTCAGAAATAAGATATTTTCCCGCGGTAAAAAGTATCCTAGGATCGCGCGCTACATCGCCCGGTTTATATAGCTTGAGCAGGCGGTCGAGCGATGCGGGGCAGAGGGGATGGACTCGCCGTAGGCATCTCAATGCTCGCCAAGCATTAAAAATGTTTCGCTACTAATTACTTCTAACAACGATATCTCAAAAACTATTCATCTGATTGATTTAGTGTAAAGAGCAATTTTAATCTGCATTAAATGACTAAGCTAACTAAAATATTCATTTGGATAAGGATTAATACCGAACTAAAGAAAATAACTTTGAAAATAACGTAATGTTTTTAATTAAAAATGTTAACATAAAAGTGGTTATTGTAAGTCAACCGTAAGAGATAGAGATATGCTATCGCGGACTTTTTTGTAGCATTTTTATAGATTTTGAATTCTCTAGTACATTACTTAACTGTATCTTTGCTAGTTTACGCGGCGTTCGCGTGGAAAGTTCCCATTTGGCGAGATTTTTTGCGACCTCTTCAACATTTGTCGCCGTATTTCAGCTAATTTACATAAAAGCATAATAAATTATATACCTAAACCTTCCTCAAGAATTACTCTTTCTATTGTTGAAAACCGTATAAAAATCCGTTCAGTAGTTTTCGAGTTTATCGCGTACAGACAGACAGGAGGACAGAAAGACGCGGCCGGGGGACTTATTTTTATAATAAGTATAGATAGATTCACAAAATTAAACCAAACTGTTAAAATGCTTTAAATTTCTTTGCAAGGCTGCCGCACATTGGCACTTTATCTATAAAGAAATAGTGTCAGTATCTGTTTGTGATTTGAAATTTTGAAAATCACACTTAAATGCTCACTCACTCCGGAAAGGTTAAAACAATTTATAACAATTTTTAAGTTCACTGGAAGGTGGATTAAGTACCTATAATATAAGCTACCTACTTTTAGAGTTGTAACTCCCAAGCGGAGTCGCGAGTTATTGATAGTAATTACTAATTAGTAAGCAGTACCTAAATTCCAGACACTTATGTAACATTCAGTTATTTTATGTACCAGTTTGTGTAGATTTTGACAATAGATTTTTGATATATCAAGTGGACAGTCGGTGATTCGGATTATGTAAATTAGGAATATAAAAATATAAATGTAAAATGAGTATACAGAAAAAGGGAGAAATATAATAGTTAATTGCCAAATATTTGTTTTCCTCGAAAATCCTTCTGAGCTGTTTTATTTACGACAGAAATTGCTAGGTTTGTAACGTCACCAGTTTGTTAATGTTTTTCTAATGGCCGTAGGCACTACAAAAGTGAGTTTGGCACGTACTTTCAATTTTTTTTATATATTCGGCACATTATTTCTTTATAACAATATCTTGCACGTAGAGGCAAGTTGTGGAAACATTCTTTACATATTTCAACGTTTAGACCTAATGTTTGCTGTAGTATTCAAAAAATGCCTAGGGTTTTACGAATTGTACGTACTAGTTTATTATACGATTAAGTTATTTGTATATGTTATAATAGAGCCTCCTATATACATATTTCCATTTCTTATAAGTTTTTTGCTTTAATAGCATTACGTCATGAAAGTATACTTGTAAATCAAATATTTTGAGCTCTATATTCCACGATTTTCTATTCATTCTAAAACGTTGTGAACTATGTTATAGAATTAGAAATATATGACCCTAAACAATACAACCCCAAAACCTATTTGTTTGAAGTAAACCTTGTTTTTATCAACGGCACGGCTCGTGTGGTAAGTACATCGATAGAAACAGCCTATCCGTTAATAACATTACTGTGCGTATGTTTGTTACTCCTTCACTTTGAAAAGGCTGGAGGGATTTCGATGAAATTTAGTATACAGATAAAGTACGACTCGGAGTAACAGGCTACTGTTAGGACTAAAGCTACCCGTAGGGCGTTCTCATTCCTCAAGCCAAGAGAACAAATATACGCACTCTACTCTGAATCTCGTAGGAGTCCATTCGATAAAAGTTTAAAATAATCAATAAAAAATTAAAATATATTCAAAAAAGACATTGCAGTTTTATTACATTAGGTATATACATCTGCTTAGTGGTCTTCATCTTTATGTATTATGTTGTTTATTAATTCATAGTATTCACGTGGAATATGTAATTTTCCATATGAATAAATAAACCGGTTAGGTGTTACGGATACCCACCCACTATACTAACAGATTTTATTGCCATTTATATAATACTAGCATTGCCCGCGGCTCCGCCCGCGTTCAGATGACCAAAAACCAAATTCTTAGGTTTTACATAGTAGTATACTCTTATATTGTAGTTTTTGTATATTTTCTCAGAAGTGAGATATTTTCCTGCGGTAAAAAGTATCCTACTTATATGTTGACCCGGATAACCAGCTATCACCATACCAAATTTCACCAAAAGATTTTCCAAAAAATATAATTTACAGATTCGGCTTAGTTAGAATTTTCAACCGACTTCAAAAAGGAGGAGGTTCTCAATTCGACTGTATTTTTTTTTATATGTATAGATTAATATTTCAACTATTCATTATGACAAAGGGAAATTAATTGATTTATCTCGTGTTGTTAGTTAACTAATTTAATATCTATATATATAGTCTCCTTAGATTTTTAGGGACTTTATTATATTTCAATACTTAGTACTTACATTAGTGTCACGGAAGTTGAAATTTCTATAATTGTTTAGAATGTTATTTTTAAAATCGGTTAGTTTCTGAAGATTGGCTATTTCGTCTGCTTCAGGGTTGTGTGATCCATGGCGGTACATCAACCATATGGCTATGGGTTGACATCCTGTAATAAAACAATTTTTTTTTAATAATGCAAATATTTTTTGTTGTGTCTTTCAAAGGCAATACAGTTGAAAGTAATTAAGACGTGAGACGGACATTAAACTGTAAACTTAATTTCTATAAAATTATTAATATAATGTTTTAACTATAGTTATTTTATGTCTAGTTATAGTACGTGTATAGGTAATTTTTTTATTTTTTTTTAAATTGTAATTGATGCAGGCATTGTTATACAGATGCCAAGATTGCTATTCTTTAAATTGTAATATTTCTAATACTCACACGAGTGAAACCGTGAACCCGAGGTAGTATTATATAATAGAATTGTATATTTAATTCACAAATCAAACCGAACGGTCACAGTTTCATGCGTGTCTGATGTTCCATTAGTCATTTAAACATTGAACTTGGACGAAATTGCAGCGTTAAGTCGTTAAATGAGTCACCGCAACACATAATTTTAACCTACTTTTACATAGAAAATCAAGATCTGATTAAAACGTATTTATATTTTTTCTTTACATACATATTTCTTTTGATTTACTCATAAATAAGCATTAGTAGTAAACGATGACCTCATCAATTAAATGAAGGACAGCCGTAGCCCTGTTAATGTTCATTTGTCACGATCTTTAAGTAAGATATCTGGAAGTATCTTTTATAATATTATTATTTATATTTTACTAATATCATAGGCAGTGGTCGCCAACTGGTAACGCGCTTGCTTGGGAAATTTAGTGAAGTAGGTTCAAATCCCGAGTGTCGCACCTCCGATATTTCCATGTGCGATTTTTTTCAATATGCTTACCACTTGGCTTACGGTGAAGGAAAACATCGTGATGCATATCTAAGAGAACCTAGCAAGTTTTCGAAAGACAGGTGGAGTCCGCCAACCTGCACTTGGCCGGTGTGTATGGAGCCATAGGGCTCCCCTTCGTATTGAAGGGAGGCCCGTGCCCAGCAGTGGAAGGTTAGAAAGGGCTGAATACACTAATATTATTAATCTAAAAATGATATATGTAGATATAGATACGTATTTATATAAAAACAAAATAAATTGTCGCTCCGTTCTTATTTCATTTTAAAATAAGTTTTATATAAATAAATCTTGTTTGTATCGGATAATCTTCAGATCGGTTCAACAGATTTGAAAAGAATTTTCATTAAGGGTTTCTACCCTTATAAAAATTGAATCTTCTGATTCAGGTCAAAAGATTTAGCAACACTCGGCTGGAGCCACTGTTGAAATGTACTCTCTATAATACTTTTATAAATATTTAGGTACTGTATTTTTATTTAGTCAGTATTTCATTTAAGAGGTTTTATATTAGAAAATATTTGCTGTCGTTTGACATTATAAGCCCCCGCAGATATAATGCTTTAAGAACAACCCTTTATGCACAGTGGCTTGATGGCCGATCATGTGTGCTTATTTAATATAGGTCGCATACCCATAGTAGCATACCCTTGTACATATATATCTTATTATTATACATATATTATCTTATTTACTGTAAAGATAAGAAATATGTAACCCATAATTTTAAACTTATTTTTTATCGTTTTCTTATATTTTAGTACATACAAATATTTGGTATACATTTTTTTTAATTCGTGTTTCTATTCTTTAAATTAGGTACATATTTATACCTACATATTTATCCATTGAAAAGATTTCATATCATTTATACGTAAAAAAATATAAATTATTTTGAAATCTTTTAAATTGGAATAGGTACTTTTTGCTTAAAAAACTTACTTTTGCCTAAGCGACAAAATAATCATCATATGTTAGGTAGCTACTCTGGTTAAAAAGCAAACAGTTAGGCACTTAAAGTTCTATGACCTGCAGATAACACGTTGTCAATAACGGTATAGCAATTGTATACACAGACTGACAGACATGCAAATTTTGTTACTATTGATATGTTAATCAGATTGTTACATTTTAACAAAATGCTCTAACAAATGCCTTTTAAAAACAATATTTTTATGTAAAAATTACATTTTATTTGCTTGTTGTAATAATGTCGAGAAACCAAAGATACTGATAGCGTTAAAACAGGGGCCCGTAACAAGAATTAGCGAACTGCGGTAATTATTGGGGCCACAGATTATATTCATACGTGTCTGGACGGTCTACCTATCTCGATATCTACCTCGATACATTTACTTATATTATGAAATTAAATGTAATCTTTTCTGTTAAAACAATCTGTACTAATATTATGTATAAAGAGGTAAAGTTTGTGAGTTTGTGAGATTGTGAGTTTGTGACGTTGTAGCGGGTAATCTCTGGATCTACTGAACCGATTTAGATGAAATTTGGTAAGAAGATAGCGTAAGACCCTGGGAAGGACATAGGATATATATATATATATATACTTTTTATCCCGGAAATCATCCCTTAAGGGGGTAAAAATAGGGATGAAAGTTTGTATGGGAAATCGACCTAGGGACGAACCCGAGCGAAGCGAGGGTGAGTCGCTAGTTCTTAAATATTCACGCTTTAACCAAAAAACGCACATTATTTTTGACATTTATGTGTAAAAAATATTTGTATTTATATGTAAAAATATAGGTCCACTTCATAGAAATCGATTCGCAATTGTGCGCAGGTATCGTGTAGGTTACACATAAAAAAAATCAGTTTAAGATATAGTATATCTATCGGTTGAAGTTCACTAATGCCATTATTGTAATATCCTGGTACACAACATACGCATTAGTTGTACTAAACAAGTGTAAAGTAGCTCAAGACCGGAAAAGTCAAGATTCGCAAAAATGTAGTAAAGTAAAATTATATGAGAATTAAAAAAGCTTTTACTACTAAACTGCAAACTTATTACATGTATTTTTTAAATAAACTTATTTCTATTGTTGGTAGGTAAATCGCATCTTAGACGTGTAAGCCTTCCCCAAGTCCTTCCAAAGATATAATAACACTATCTTTTTTTAATTTGCTTTTTGGTCTCCATTGTTCCGTATGTAGAGTAGGTACGTAATAAGTATCACTTTTGTTAATTATTATTTATCTAATATCTAAGTTTGTCTGTAAACATGTTTGATGTAAAACATTCGAAACGTCAAGAACCAAACCGCCGAAACATCGGAAAATATAGTTTATTCTAAGAAACTATTTTAAGAAAGTAATAAGAATTAATTTGCGTATAATAAATATAACACCTATGTATGTATGTATGTATGTATGTATGTATGTATGTATGTATGTATGTATGTATGTATGTATGTATGTATGTATGTATTACCCATACGAATATATTAGATATACATAAATAGATCCTGTCAAATATTAAACTAAGTCTAATAAGGTATTATGTGCTTCCTCTCTCACACTGCTTTGTCTCCTTTTCCTTTGTCTTGATAACCATTCTGTCACATATTTTGTTATCCATTCTACATAGATGTCCAGCCCATTATAGTAAAGTAATAATGTAGATCCCGCTTATAATATATTGTTAATCTCTGGTTCTCGCGTTTTAAATATAAAATAAATAAAAAAAAATAGCATTGCCCGCGGCTCCGCCCGCGTTCAGATGACCAAAAACCAAATTCTTAGGTTTTACATATTAGTATACTCTTATATTACAGTTTTTGTATTTTTTCTCAGAAATGAGATATTTTCCCGGGGTAAAAAGTATCCTATATGTTGATGCGGATAACCAGCTATCACCATACCAAATTTCATCAAAATCCCTCCAGTGGTTTTTCTGTGATGCGGTAATAGACAGACAGACAAAAAATCTAAAAACTACAGATTCGGCCTCAGTATCGATAATAATGTCTATTTCAATAAGATTTTCCAAAAATATCTAATGTACAGATTCGGCTTACTTACAATTTTATTATAATATGTATAGAAAATTGGTGAAATCACTATGTACATAAATGTTTCTGCTCTACCATAAGGCATGAGTACGACTTGTTAAATGGAATACATACGATTCATTTTCGTGTTTAGGTAAGAATAATATAACAAGTATTTCTATGATTCATCACAACCTAACGTGTTTAAATACATTTTAACTTAGGTTGAGCTTATATTACTTGAAATGATAATTTCTTAAATAAAACCACATTTCAGTCGCCATAGAGGCATATTTATGTAATTTTCTTTACATTTTAAGTCCGGTTAGAAGAAAAACTCAAACGCAAGCAAGTATGCTTAACCAATACTTAAAAGGAAAAAGATTTTATCCGCAAGTGTTGTAAATAACCTATAAAGTAGATTGCCCGTGGAGCCAACCACTGGCCATTAAATTCCTTTAGTGCATAATTTAGGTTGCAGTACTTTGTTTTAATAGAATCACTATTAGTTCTATTATAACGGTATAGTGGCTTGTATGGACATTAAGTAAATTAAAGGGATAGTGAATATGGTTAGGTATTTTTAGTTAATGCAATTTTTAGGTTCATATCTATAAATATTATAAAAATTACTATGTGTCTTATATAAATATAAATAAATAAAATTAAAGTGTCTGATTGTAATATCGATACAATAGCTTTTTACTAAATGCATATGAAATACATACATACGATACTTATAAGAAAAAATACAATTTTTAACGTTTTTTGTTTGTCTGTTTGTTCCGGTTAATCTTCGAAACATAGGGACTGATTTTGACGCGATTTTCACTGGCACATAGCTGACGGTATAAGGTGTAACTTAGGCTACTTTAATTTTAGAAAAATAATTATGGTTTCGCTCAAAAAATTAAAACATACCTAGACACACGCCCGAGTGAGGCGAGGGGGTCGCAAGTCCCAAAAATATACCTAATACGAGTAGAAGTACAAACAATTGCTACATTGGGTACAGTAAAAAATTGGGTAGAGTGTAAAATTTTAGTAATGTAGAGACAATCGACATTGTATAGAACTGTGAACAGTGTTTACGATGTAAGTAAAAAGACATTATCAACATTAAGCATAACATTTCCTTTTAGACACGGTGCTGCAAGTTTGTAAACATAAAATATAAGAGAAACAAGGGAATGGAAATTTAAAAAGAAAACTGAAAAACACATTTAAAATGTCAAAATATTCGCGTTAATCTAAGAAAATATTAAAAGTAAAAATATACCGGCCCTACGTATAACATTCCATTTTGGAAGTCACTTAAAAATGACATTGAATAGTAGCTGCAGTATTTAAATGCATTATGTGGGTCTGCTCGCAACTCAAATTACAGTACTAAATTTTTATAGAAATTCTATAAAATCACATAATCTAAAGAGGTATCAGTGATTTAAAATATATTATTCTTTATTATGACCAGGTAGTATTACACGTTTTCAAGGTTCAAAAACACAAGCGATGAACAAACAGATTATAAAAGGTTCATTGTGCTATTGCTATGTTAATTACTCAATAGACTCTAAAAAAATTAATTAATCATTCAATTCCCAAAAACCATACTTACACAAGGGCATATTAATTATTATCGTTGCAGTATATAATGGAAACAGAGAGGAATTCGGTTTTATGAAAAACCTACTTCATACTTGGATTGTGAAATAGTAAATTTGATATAAGTAGGTCTTCTTCGAAGACAAATCTTTTGTGTTAATAGACCACTCACTACTACACAACGGTGAAGGAAAAGATCATAAGGAAACCAGCATGTCTGAGAAAATCTAGCAAGTTTTCAAAAGACATGTGAGTCCGCCACGGCGCCAACCCGCACTTGGCCAGCGTAGTGGATTATAGCCTGATCCCCTATTGAAGGGAGCCCGTGCACAGCAGTGGGACGTTAAAAAGAGCGAAATACACTCACTATTACGTACGTACGTCTATTATTTCAGACCTCACAGTGAGTCTAGTGTAGTGTAAGTAATTAGTGGTACATTGTAATTTGTATGTAGAAGACTACAGCCAGTTAAACCGCAATAAGTACAGAGTAGAGATCTATTATATTTCAATGTAAGAATTATATCAACTAAAGTTTATTCCCAACATATGATATTTATGCAATATCATAAATATTGATTTATTATAGCTTTTTGAGTTTCGTATAACTTTTAGAATTTTTTTAAAACCTTTAATAAACCATTCGAACAAAGTTACTTCCACTTATATAACTATTTTTATTCTTTCCTAACTGAATACACTCAGCATTGTTTTGTCATTTCCATTCAAAGTGTGTGCAAGGCTTATATGGAATCGAAATGCATTAAATAACAAAGGCGAACGATACACATGCTTAGAATGGCGATGAACTAATTACTGTATTGGGTGATGGACGTTTAACTACACCTTTAATACATTTTCCTCATTACTTTTAAAGTAAAACTTATTATTATTTTCATTCCGAAAGCAATTAATATTAAATTATTTTGTTTTTCCATTTTATTTTTAATGACATCTTCATAATAAATATTAGTATTTCTTATTCTTACGTAACTAACCCTATCCGTACTGGGTCGTGGGTTCGAGTCTCGCTGGGGCATTCATTTTATGATGAGCACGACTGCTTGTACTCCAGTCATGAGTGTATATGTATATAAAGTTATACGAGTATATTATGTGTAGTGTATGATGTATAAACTATCTAGTATCCATAACAGAAGCCTCGTAGCTTACCATGGAACTAGATTGTGCTATGTGTTAATGTCCCAACATATTATTTCCTTCGGACTAACAGCCGTTTTTTTTAAATTCTATATAGGCGAGGTCATTCGACCTTGCTAGATTACCTATTTTTAGAATGATTATATAATCTTATATATAAAATTTCCATGTCACAATGTTTGTTACCGTACTCCTCCGAACGGCTTTACCGATTTTTACCAAATTTTATATGCGTATTCAGTAGGTCTGAGAATCGGCTACTATCTATTTTCCATACCCCTAAGGTGGTCCTCCCAGACCCCACCCCAGGGACGAACCCAAGCGGAGCGAGGGTGAGTCGCTAGTGATTATATAAATTTTCCAAAAAATATTTAATGTACAGATTTGACTCAGTTACAATTTAATTATATGTATAGATAGATAATACATTTTACGACATATGTACTATACCTACATGATCTACTTTATCGTTACACATTGTATGGTGTCCTTCAGCTATTTTCATGGTGTCTATGAGGCACATAAATGCAGTCACCTCGTTACCTTATTGCGTCACAAAACGTTTGGATGTGGTCCAAAGTTTTGTTAATGTAACCAATTAATCTACTAAATTAATGTTTCAGGAAATCTGACCTAAACTATTATGACCTCAGCATTTGGTCAAATCCTATGTACATTTTTTAGTGCGAATGTTTTAAATGTAACAGTATATTGTAGGTATTACGATTTACAAAAATGTAACTGCAAAAATTACTTTTCTTTTTAATAGCAAAAGTAAATTGTTGGCATAGCTTTTTTATTTATTACCCGATTAAAATAAAACAAAAACTATTTGTTCAGTAAAGCTTGCCACCATACATTAGTCTTCGCCCCCACTCAAATATCAAAAGTTAAGCCGTTTCTGAGATTCGTGCGCACAAAGTCATAGACAAACAGACAAAAAATAAAATCATTGTTTTGGGTTCTATTGCGTTAATACAGAACCCCAATAATCGTTTTTCTCAAATATCTTCCATGTACAGACAGCGATCAGTTAAAGTTTTATTATAAGTATAGAATAGATAAAGATTTAGTTTATTATTATTTCAACCAGATCGTAATACACATACATACAAACACGTATAGTTAACGGATATCAAATCTAAAATATCAACGCGCTAAAATATTTTTGCAATAAAAAAATAACTTACCAGGTACATCGTATGCCTTATTCAGTGGTATTCCCAAACTTGCGAAGGTGTATGCGGTTTTTGTTCCAAATAGGAGATACGGTTCTTCATCAGCTGACTGGCAAGTATCTTGGCTGTCCACGAGGGCTACGACCATAAGAAGGCCCAGAAATGCTAACCGCATTTTGCTTGACTGTAAACATGTGATGACTAGAGTTAAAACTTTTTTAGTTATGTATACATAATATTATGATAGAAATGCTTTTGGCACTGAGGTACAATATAATTCTCAGAAAATAGTTAAAGATTATGTTATATCAAGCTCGTTAAATTCGGAACAAAGTGATGTAATTCTTTATTTGACGACTTTAAAGGAGGAAGTTCGTATTCCTGGGGTGTATTATATATACATACGATATCTATGATCTAATATATATATGATCTAAACATATGATAAAAATATAGGAAGGTCAGTAGTACGTTGAAATATTTGTGTAATTTTTAACAATTTTAAAGGCAAAAATTCCAATATTTTTTTATGTTATTAGTAAATATGTTTTTTATGTTATTAGTAATATACCTAATATCATATCCTACTAATATTATAAACACGAAAGTTTCTGAGGATGGATGGATGGATGGATGTTTGTTACTTTTCAACGCAAAAACGATAAAAATGAAACTTTAAAGTGGTATAACTTATCTATACTTCCAATATTTCAATTATCAAATCTACAAAACGGAAAGAAGGGAGACTCGAGCAACTAGAAACTTCCTTATATGCCCTTACGAAATAAAAATTATAAGGGTTCAGTGATTGCTCTTTGGCGGTACCCGAAAGATGTTAGAGATAGATACAAATATAAGTTAGATATCGTCGCTGCGCCTGCAAAATGCGCTATGTATTTTTTTTTGAAAATCGGTTTTTAATGCCAGTTTTTACTATTTCTTAATCCACGTGTATCTGTAAAATCCGTTTTTGAATAACTCATTTGGTTAAGAAGATAGCAAAATCAGCTATGTAATTTTGATGAAAAACGGACTTGAAAAACCCTCTATATGTGTAGGAGGCACATAGTGTATTTTTGTTTCAAAGCGAGTCCCTTAGAATTGCGCTTTGAAATGATACATAGCGGGTTTGTCATACAGAAGAAACAGCACGTGGCAGGTGGTGCACTGTTTTCCAGATCGTATTTTATATCAATCAAATAGCTTTAGGTGTTAGATAGTGCATATAAGTTACAAAACTGGTTATACATACCTGGTTTGGCGAACTTTGAAATACCAAGTATTATATTGAAATACCAATTTCGAATTTAAATATTATTGACCCTGTAGAAGAAAAAGTATCGATTGCACGTGACTCAACGTTCACTGAATTTCATGAATCGAACCAGCATCAACTTAATAGTGTTCAGATGACAATAGCGTTTGATTCTGGTGATTGTTCTGATCAGAATATAGTAGTTTATCCACTTCATATGTCACCACCATTACTTCCATTTTCTAACGACCAATCCTTGGATGTATAAAAAATACAGAGCCCAGGTACTTCAAGCTCCTGTTGTTTATTGCTGAACCCTGAGACAGGGCTGTTAGAAGAAGACTGGCAGGTAGAAGAATCTAATAATAATCAGAGTAATAACTTAACATCTATTAAGAATAAGAGGAAGAACAACCAGGCTCTTCAATTACATGGCAAAGAATACAAAGGTCTTCAAAGAGCGGGGGGAACTGTGACCGAGACTGAGAAGTCTAAAAGATAACTAAAGCCCGTACCTTGTAATCATGGTATTGTAGGCATTTCTGACAGGTCTTTTCTTTACGGGTCTGTAACCGATCAAGCCCGTAAAGATATTTTTGATTATTTCTGGTCGTTGACATCTTGGGATTGAAATCTTGGGCTAAAAAGGCCTCGTACTGGGTTCGACTGCAGTTCGAAATATAATAAAAAGAAGAACCATAACCACAACTGAAAATCGTACATCAAAACGAAAAATACTGGTGTCGATTGTTTTTTGCCAAGAGAAAATGGCGTTAAAGTAAGAGTCTGTAGAGATTTATTTTTGGCCACTTTGGATATTACGAAAGAAACCTTTACAGATTGGACCAAAGCTAAAAGATGTCATACAACCAAAAGTATACCTGCCATTTATGATGAGGTTAGTACCTCAAACAAGAGAATTTTAAAGTCAGACTGTCGTACAATGGTTAGATCAGTTAGCTAAGGTACCCAGTCATTATTGCCACTCGTCTTCATCAAGAACGTACGTGGATGATGCATTGCATTCAAAGACAAAAATGCACGAGGTTTACGTTTCCTAATGTCAATCTACCTCTTTGGAATTCGTCCAACGAAAGAAATCTTGCGAGATTTTAAGAAGTAAGAAAATTTCTATATATAAGCCACGGAAGGATCAATTTGATACTTGCGTATCTTACAAAGAAAGAAACTTAAGCGAAGAAGCGTATCAAACACATATATAAAAAAAGAATGAGGCTCGAGAAGCGAAAAAAATAGCCATAGATTCGTTATCTGATGAACATTGTGTATGACAATGGATTTACAAAGTGTCCAATTATGCTCCAAGTTATTAGTATCCTGCCAGTACTACAAACAAAGACTTCAGCTTCATATTTTGACAATATATATTAATAACACAAGAGATGTACATGTGTTTGTTTGGCACGAAGGCGACGGTGGTGTTACATGTAATAAATTTGTTACATGCATCGTAACATTTGTGGAGCTTTAAACCACCAAAGGCTATACAAAAATTAGTCTCATATCAGATGGTTGTGGTTACCAAAACTGAAATAATGTTTTGTCTAGTGCTTTGGCAGACGTTTCGAAGCTAAAGTCGGTTGAAATTCAACAAATCATCTTAGTAAAAGGGCACACCATGATGGAGGTTGACAGTGTCCATTTGAGTTTAGAGAAATTCTTTACTCCGCCGTTATACACACCTGCAGATTATGTCGCATGCATACGGAAAGCGAGGCCAAGTCAACCTTACATTATAAAACATGTAGACTATACCTTTTTTAGGAACTTTGAAGCTGTGCCTAGCAATTTTTCATCGATTCGTCCCGGTAAAAGAGCAGGTGATCCCACAGTTGCCGATATAAGATCATTGTTGTATGTGAATTAAGACATCATGACACTCAATGGACTTTGTTGTCACAAAGAAGAAAGGCTGATCTGTACGAGGAGCTCGGTGTTTGTTTAGTAAGCCGAAAAAAAATTGAAAAAACTAAATTTCATAGTTTTCAGTCCTTGAAACCTTTAATGCATCGAGATAACCACTTTTTTATGACAATTTATCTTTTTTATTTATATAAAACTAGTTTTGATTACCATGTTTAGTACCTACTTTTTACTTAGTTACAAATTGATCTCAAACTTTGCCAAATATTTAAGTGTACCTAACAATGAATGTGATTTGATTTGATCTGTTCATATTATACGAGAGTGTTGTTATATTATAGAGATTTAGAACGATTGTTTTATTATGTTACTTATTATTTTTTAGTTTATCATTCGTTAATTAATACCTACTGCTGCAATTTATTTTATTAATATTATGTTACATTTTTAAATACCTATTTTGTTCATAACTACCTAGGCATGCTAAGCTGTTTAGAGGTATCACTATTTTAGTCTGTATTGATTTATTTTGTTAATTATTTTTCTAATTAAGTATAATAAATACTTTTTAAGCGAACTTAAACTTATCTTATTATTTAAAAATAGTTTGTTAAATCCGTTATGTGTTCAAGAAAGCACACAAATGTTTATTATTTAGAAAAAGCATAAATCCGTCATGTGGTGAAAAGTCAAATAGCGGTATTTACGACCCAAATAAAATCCGATATGTGCCCAAATTCACTTAAAAAATTTCTAGCACCTGGAATATCATAGTAAACAGCAGTAAATATATATTTCTAGGTGTCCCGACACAAGGTCTAATTTTCTGCATAGTAAATTTTAAAATTTTATTAACAGTTTAGAAAAAAAATAGTTTTTTGTTTCTCCTGAAAAGTTGGGTTTTTATCCATAGCGGATTTTGCAGGCTCAACGACGATATATAAATTATTAATAATAAGTTGCGATTCGATGTTGTGTGTTATTTATTAATTATTATTAATGTTGAATTTTATATCTTGAATATTAATTTAGTAAACAATGGCAAGACAGAGTAGGTATACAAAATATTTGATTTTTATATTTGCTTAGGTGTAGTAGGTACCAAAATATGTTCAAGTTGTATTGAAGGCATTGTTATTGGTATGTGTGGGTTTAATAGTGATGTAATATAAATTGTAGTATGAGTGTTCGTATTATGTATATGGGGCATTCTACGCCAAATCGGACGATTTCAAAATTATTATTTTTGATTTTCTTAATATTTTGGTATTTTTAGTACCCCTCAAAAGAGGCTTCCTGGTAAATTTTGTGATTTTGATCACTTTTTCAAGTTTTCAATCGTGTTTTTAAAACTGTGTGTATCTTTCGATTTTTTTTATCTTCTATTATATTATAGAAGTTTTTCTATCAATCATGCAACTTTTAAGCCCGGTCCGGTAGTGGGATTTCCATATCTACTATTTTTTTCCAATTTTAAAATGAAAAAAAAAAATATATATTTAAAACATTTTAAATAATTATTTTTTTATTTTTTTTATGTAAAGGTAATCCAAAAACAAAAAAAATTAAAAAAATTGAACTTCGACCATTATTAAGAAAGTTATGAGCAAAAAACCAAGAAAGAAGCGTTTTTTTTGAAATTTCGATATTTTTAAACCAGTGATCAAATAAATCTCAAAATTTACCAGGAAGCCTCTTTTAAGAGGTACTAAAAATACCGAAACATTAAGAAAATAAAAAAAATTCAAACCGTCCGATTTGGCGTGGAATCTCCCATATACAATGTTAGAACTTTTAAATTAATAGCTAGTTATAATACATATAAGATATTAATGAGAAAAAACTTGTTTAACATCAAACAAAAAAAAAACTATAAAATCACTATCAATATAGCAACATAATGATAAATAACATTTTAAAGTATTTTATACTAGATAATATAATTAATAAAAAAAAACAAACAGACATGTCACTATTTACTATGGAAAAATTAAATATGTAAGTCATACTTTGTTTGATATTTCAAGACCTTTAAC